CCCCAGCTCCTTCTACTACAATATATATTCATAGAACATGGTTGTGGAATAAAAGCAAACAAAGAAAATAAACCATATTTATCAAGTATTTGAGAAACGGATAAAAAGTCTATTTTTAAAAACTTTACTCAACGCTAGAAAGCTATCTTGGCTTAGCTTCAAAATGATCCGGAATACGGCCGCACTCATCCCTAAAAAAAAATATTAGTATTTTGCCAATTACTTCCATAGATAAATAAATAAACATAGATAGCTTATGTACGCAAAATCACCAAGAACTGTACAGTCCGCGAACTCATCTAGGGGTCAAAGTGTACTTCAATGATAAGCAGGGTGGTTTGGTGTTTTAATGGATTTCATATTAGAGTGTAAAATAACTCCGGGAATGGAACTTTTTGAACAACAATATTTCACTGAGCAATATATCATATTGACGAGAACTGGAGAAGGACATGAAAAGGACTAAACTAACTTTAATTTCTCTCTACAGAACTCATGTACACCACAAGTACTCAATGACATAAGAACAGCCAATGTTCACAACCGACCTAGTTAATTTTTATAATAGGAATATCTTTAAAACATCTCTTTACATCTCTTTCATCGTCTTATGCGCAATCTCTATCTATGATTACTTCTCTCAAACTAAACTGGTGACAAGCGTGTTGTAGTTCTAAAATGCATATTTCTAGAGAAACAAAATTTGAATAAGCGAGCTAACTAGTGACTTATTAAATGATTCCGCAATCCGCATGCAACACCTGGTCATTACTTGAAAAGTATAAAAATTCCCAATTCAATGTTAAAATGTGAAAAAGGAACCCTTGACTCTAAACAAGGCACATTAAACTAAAGTAAACTGCACGAAGACTGAAATCTTATAAGTTTTCAAATTTAACTCCTCATGTCAAAGAGCTATAAAAAAGCTATACCTGTCCGGAAAATCAAAACTAGAGGAGCTACAAGGTCACAATGGTGTACCAGTAATATTGCATGAATTTTAACCTATCCTTTTGTGTAGTTTGTAGTGATGAGCAGGTTTATATATCATTAGTTCTTATCAATACGTTCAACATTTTAAAAAAAACAATTAACACTCTCACTTAAACAAATTAAAATAATAAGTAAGAGCTATAAGAGAGGTTCCTTTTAGGGATATAAAAAAAGTTATATTTATAAACTTTTTTATAAACTTTTCAATAAAAAAACATTCTTATATTTCTTTAGTGAATATATTTGCTTTAATCAAGAAAGGTTTTTTATCTTTATATAAAAAGTATTCTCGGTATATATCAGACTCCATCGATCAGGGCTGTTACAACCCCCCCCCCCCCCTCAACCCACTATCTAATACAACATCATAGAACACACCTTCTCCTTCTTACAGAAAATTAGGACTCTTCTCAATAAATATCTTAGGAATGGGGGGGGGGGGGAATTAACTCTAAAGAGCCTGTATATGGTTAATCAATGAACCGTTCGTTATTATGGATAAATCTAATCTATATATCTTCGCAACCTGATAGTCTAAACCTTTGATATTACAAACTGCGAATTCATAGTTTGAAATAACAAAGGTGTATCACATTGGGTTGCAAAGATGTTTGAATTAGAAAATTAAAGGTTTTGGCAAAGACTCAGTTCTTTTCCGTTAATTTGTAAAGCTCAAAGAAAAATTGCTTTACCCATTAACGATCTGTTAACTAAAGTTTGTTTAAGTAAATTCACTGAAAATTTTGTTAACAAACGGACACAATCAATAATTTTTAAACCAAAAAACAAAACAAAAAACCCTCTTTGTTGTTTTTATTATAAAATGTTGTATAAAGCAAACAGTAAAAATACTTAAGATTTCCTTAAAAATTAAAGCTTTTTAAAACTTGATTTTGTTAACCAACTATATATTCCTAAAATGATCTGGAAGAACAAGGAAGTTTAGTCCTAGAGTAGAGGATTCTAATCCGTCCTGATCCACTTCTGTTATATAGGAGTTCAACATCCATCTTTCAACCTAAATATATGGATTAAGTGTTGTTATAAATCCTAATATTAAGGATTCTAATTCGTCCTGATCCACTTCTGTTATATAGGAATTCAACATCCATCTTTCAACCTAAATATAAGGATAAAATATTGTTATTTAATCCTAATATAGAGGATTCTAATCCGTCCTAATCCACTTCTGTTATATTGGGGTTCAACATCCATCTTTCAACCTTTTTTTTGAAGAAATATTAGAATTAAAAAAATAGAGTTTCAGATCAATAATCTTTTCCTAAAAGGGACTGTGACCCTTACTACAAAGAGGACAGTACCTGATTTGCGACGGTATCCTTAAATATTTGTCTGGTCCAAGGTTATAATGTAAGAAAGGTTAATTGCAGTTGCGTATACACTGCGTACATATTTAAACAAGTTTACTCTGGGCGGAATTTGTAAACAAGAATAAATGCATCAGTGTCCGTTTAGCATCCGAGGAGGATAAAAGCATTGAGTTTTGAAAATATTTCAATTTGGCATTATCATCTAAGTGTATGGAGGAGTTTCAGATAAACAAATACTTTTGATCGTGCTTAATCTGATCAAAATATGGAAGATACAGTCGCTTTTCGGACTCAAAAAGTGTTCATTTCTGTGAGTTTCTCCATTGCTTCTTATAAACAAGAACCATGCAAGTCACCTTTCGTCTTTCGCAGAGAAACCACAAATGAAAATAAACAGTTTAAATAAACAAAAACATGCCTATCTGATTCATACTTGATAAGACAAAGCTTTCATGGGTACCGTTGTAAATCGGACATTGTAATCTTTGCATAGAGGGTCACTTGAAATTTTGGTTACAGTCCCTTTAAGAAAAGTTCATTTTTTCTTCTCTATCCACTGTTTCTTTTTACTATTTGTCTCTCTATTCAAATTAAAAGATATATACTGCTGGGTGTCCCAAAAGAGGGTGATTAGGGCTTTTTGAAGCCCATTGATGATCAAAAGTCTCATTGTTTTATTTTGAGCCTATTTTACTATACACAAGATTTCGAATAAAAAATGAGGAGTCCAAAACCATTTTGTAGATATCCTGTATTTCTTCTCAAGCAATTTATCTATCTTTACTATCCGACCATTCGTGATAATCAATCATAAATGCCTTCTCCTATTTATGCAGGTTTTTCATTGGGAACATTATTATTCAGGAAGATCTAACATATCTTTTTATATTAACATTCTTTACCACTAAGATAGACAGAAATTATTTTTGTTTTGTTCACACTTTGTATTAATAAATCATGAACATGTTTAGCTCTAACATTTTAAATAATTTTACAATCTTTGTAAGGACACTTGTATCTTTAAAACTCACAACAATCTTTAATATTAATATTATAATCTTTGCAACCTGAGTCCGCGATTTAAAAACTTCGGCTCGACCCGTAATTCCTTAAACCCGACCAATCTTCGACCCAACTCTGACGACAGCTTGTGTCACGTGATTGACAGCTGTAAGATTTTCGGCTCGACTTAAGAAGTTAGGCCCAATGAAAATGAAACCGACCTTGGTTGGTTTTAGTGGAGAATAAGGCTCAACGTTGAGTATTGTTCTATTGGTTCAGAATAGACAACAAACACATGACTGAACCCTGATTGGATCAGGCGCTAATGGACTCGGCATACAGAACTGGTTATTTGTGGTTATTAGAAAATAAAATAGATACATTTTTAGCGAAGTCAGGAAGTGTTTACGCCACATTAAACTATTATTATAGAAGCAGCAAATTATTCTTATTAAAAGAAATATTTGTTATAAAAGTAAAAAAGTTCTGCTCCCGTGATGCTATTCAAAGAGATTGCTCTCCTCACACACAAACTATTTACGTGAAATATTATTACCATAATATTTAGAAAACATTTTATCCAAAAAATATTTGGATAAAATAAAGCAAAACATTATTTCATTTAAAAACTTTTAACATCAATATCCTTCAATACCTGGAAAATAATGGGACCCAAATGTAGTGTGGGACCTCACATGACCCCAAGGAAGAAGGTTTATTGAAAATCAAAATTGAGAAATACTTTGAAAAGATGAATTTTAAAATTATTTAAAATGGCCGAATTTAAGAGAAACAGTTAAAAAGTTAAATAAATTATCATGAAGAGGGGCCGCCGTAGAAACCTTGTATGTGTATTTTTGTGTATTTTTTGACATTATGCAAAGATAAAAAGTTCTCGATGGCTTTACATAAAAACCACAGTTTTATGTTAAATAGACTTGCTAAAAGCTTTTGACAAATTGATTTAAGATATTTTGAATATTTGAACGGAAACCAGAGACAGCTCTGCAGAGAGACAGTTTATAAAACTAGAAGAAATGGTTCTTTGATCAGATATGTTTCTTGAATACTTTGATCTCAAACTATATTTTCTGTTCCTGATCTAAGGGTTTCATCATAATTAATTTTCCTTGGAAGTTCCTACTTGAAATTTGACTGAGTTTTTGCTTTTTCTATTTTAGAAAGTAAAAAAAATGACGATATTTTTCTAATATACATGGAACCTCAAGTTTGTATTGATTTTTATTAAGACTATTGACGCAATTGCAAATGTTACAACTTACATATCCTATTCCCAACAGGCCCTTTAAATCTGTGCATCATTGAGAAGGAAATCCGCGTTTTTCTCGCTAAAATGATAATGTCTAGCTGCAGACGATATAACTCGAGTTTACACTACTGTTCATAGTGAACTCGATGCGAATGGCATTTACAGTAAGTGTGTTAATAAAAACGTAAATAACCTTTAATCCTTGATCAGAAAAAAGGTTTAAAGAGTACTTTTCAAATTGAGGATCACAGAATATTGTATGTACAGTCCCATTAAGCCCAGATACAGATCAAATATATCAATTCTATCAAATACTGCTCATCTAATGTCCGCTACTATGTTCCTTGTAAAAATTACTTCCTGTTAGAGTTCTCAACTCCCTCTGACTGATTCCTTGCTGTTTTCTTTTTTTTCAAAATTTATCAAAATCCATAATGAAATCTTGAGCTTACCCCGGACTAACCAGAGTGAGTAGCATTCAGTTTCTTCTATTTGAAATCAAACGTGTGTTGGTCCTTAATTCAACAATCTATTCACTTACGGATTTGTTTATTCAAAACGTATGTGCCGACAAAAAAGTATTTTGGAAAAAAGGCTAAAACATCATGTTTAATGGGTCAAATTGTGATTGAAAGTCACAGTTTTCTGGAATATTGACAGAACCATGTGAGGTGCCGCCACAGTATTTGTAACTAATATTGTTACTATATAGCTCGTAGATTAATAGATTTAGTCTTGTTTTTACGTAGTGGCCTAAAATTCTCAAACCGGAGCAAAAAAATATGTATTTACCATTTTCCCATTGAGAGACCAGTAAAGGGAGGGGGCTGGGAAACTTCTCCTACTCGTGCAATTAATGCTAATCCTAAAATAAAATAAAGTTCATATTTTAGATAACCTATGTAAATATAAAGTATTCCAGTGTCCGAATTTAATGAATTTAATCCGCGTCTCAAATCCCCCAAAACCGGTTTCAATTGAACACCGGCTAAAATCTTGAAAAATATAATGAAATTTTAAGTGGAACCAACCATATTTCAGCTTCGGCTCTAATTTAAGCCGCGGCTCAAATGCTTTTAATTCGGCCTCAGGTGTACCAGATTTATCATTCAATCAGAATCTCCAAGTCAAGAATAGACCTCACTGAAGATTGGTCCATGTCAATTGTTCCATGGAACATTCTGTATGGGATATTTATCTGTCTTTTTTATTGAATAATAGATTTATTATATATTTTAAGTATTAATCTCTGTTTGTTTGTTTGTAAGTCCGATCCTAACTCAGGAACCCCTTAACCGATTTGCCTCAAATGATGATTGGGGAACTCTTAAGAATTACGGGAATGTTCTTAGTTTGGTTTAAAAGTTCTAAGTTTAATAGGTTAACACTCATAAGAAAACTTTGTTTCATGGCAAAGCTGGGTTCCCGAGCTAGTATAATCTTTTATTTATCTATTTTGAAATAAAACCAATTAAACTTGTATTAATTTAGTTCAGTCTCAAATCATGCATATTTCCAAGAAAACCTCTTTTCGTTTAAAGCAAAATGAATACTTAAAGATTTAGGATTAGGCAAAGTCAAGTCAGAAATTCTGCTTTAAATAAACTTCTTCTTCATGTTTAGATTTAATTTAATTTTCACTAGATGTGAAATTTAATAAAACTTTTTTTATGTTTTTGAATTTATTAATAGGTTTTTTGATTCCTAACCAAAAAACGTTGAATTATTATTTTAAACTAAAAAAATACCTGTCTCCTGGAAGATAGGTAGACGATTTAACTCCAGATATCACAGGGTGTCTCTCAGGAAGTACAACTACCATCAATCTGAGAAAATAAAACATTATTGTGTAATTATGTATCTATCTATATTTATGATGTTAAATCACAGCAGTACCCTTTATATAGAACTCTACACCATATATTTGAGCAACATGTTCTGAAAAAGTGTTGAATTCTGCCAATTTTCTTTATTTCTTATTCATAAATCCGCCAGTCAATGTTTGGAAAAGAACTTTGGAAGAGCTAGAAATCCATCTGAAAAATGAACATCTTTAGTCATTCTTGACTAATAACTTTCTCTTTTCTCAGAATAAAATAAATTTTGTTATTAGAATAGAATTAATATGCTCATTATTATCTTATATTTCCATTAACTGATAGCGCCGATATAAGGATTTATCTCTAATTGGATAATGAGATAGATAGAAAGATAGATGTTACCGCCATGCAATTTCTATTGGTTCAGAATAGACAACAAACACATGACTGAACCCTGATTAGATCAGGCGCTAATGGACTCGGCATACAGGGTAGTGCTTAATCTATTCGATTTTTAAAATCTTGCTTCCTATATGTTTAAAGAGGTAAACTTTAAAATCTTAAATCTACGGCATCAATGCTTATACTGATTCCCGAAAAGATTGATATGTACGTAGCTCAATTGCTGAAATTAAGCGCTATTCCATTCAATAGTTTAGCACTTGAAGGAATTCTTTAAGCGGAATTTCAAAGATGACAAATTGCAACGATGACATTGCCGGATTACCAACAATATCCTAGAAAGCTTTGTCTAATCAAGTATGAATATCACGCACCTCTGACCCTTAAGTAAAAGTAAATTCAACCTAAAGTCTGACCACGTCAACCTTGTTGCACCCAATGTCCGGTCGATACAGTACAAACTGGGACCGGAAAGGTTGCCCTAGCTCGGAAATTCAAATGTACTACGGGTACACATGATATTAATGTTTTTCTTTCTTGAACTGTTTTTTTCTCATTTGCGTTTTCTTGTAATTTGTGTATTCCTTGTTTATAAGAAGCAATGGAGAAACTCACAGAAAAAAAAACTTTGGAGTCAAAAACAATACTACGGTATCTTTCATATTTTTGATCAGATTAAGGTTTCAAGAGTACCGTTGTTAATCATACATTGCCATCTTTGCATGGAGGGTTAATTGAAATTACGTTTAATAACGAACTCTTTTTTAATACTTTTTATGTTTGTTTCCGTTGTATTGTACACTGTACTCTTATTCCTGAATTGGTTAATATGTAAGAAAATACTAAACAAACACAGAGAATGTATTATATAAAAACAATGTACAAAAGGTTTATACACTCCTTTTACCAATATTTATTCTTCATACACGGATAGACAGGCGTAAATATTAGCCATCATCATTCTTGTCTTTCCGAAGCCCTGTAGCAAATAATGTAGAAATCCCAATATTTGTTAACCTGAACATACCTAGTTATATTATGTTGTACATTGTCTGTAAATCTAAAAGCGCTTATTATTAACTTCTCAAAACTAGCAATGCGACAAACCTAGCCTAAATACGTCTGTAAGTATGTCAAACCATGTATTGTGATTAGCTTAATTACGCCTATATATATCCGCGCAACTTAATCTGTAACGTAGATAACTAAATACAAGTTAGTTGGAATATACTCCGCTTTGATTACGGTGAGAGAGTAATTCGTTCCTCGTTTAAACCTAACAAGCTGACGAGATTGCGTTCATTGGTTAAGCATTGATAGTTTACGTGCTTATGTCCCTGTTGACATTGAAGCCAATGAGATCGTGCCCATTGGGTTTTGAATTGATAGTTTAGGAGCTTGTGTCAGTGTTGACATTGAAGCATATGAGATTATGCCCATTGGTTTGGCATTGATAGTTTACGAGTTGTACCTGGATTGATTAGGTTTGAAAGCAGTTTTAAGAGTAGGGCATTTATTATTATAGAGCCCAACATGCACTTGGCAATTGGCATAAATAAATTAGTAAAATGAGAATCAGGAGGAGGAGGGATATCAGTTCATTTCTAAATTCTAAACATTTTTAGGTAAAATTTAGGTAGATTTTACTTATATGGTAATCAAGAAATTAATTTGTAACTTTCAAACAAAACATTATTTTCGAAAATTTAGAAAAATAAAAAAAGTTATTTTGATAATTTTACCTTCCAGATGACTCGGAAAAGGCAAATGGAGGAGAATCTTCAGTCACCTAAACAAAAATAAACAGTAAAAAAAAACTGATAATTCTAAAGGGATTGTAAGCGTAATTATAAGTGACTCTAAATGCCAAAATTGACAAGGCTACCCTTAAAAGCTTTATCAAGTAGGAATAAAATAGAAATATTTTTGTTTCTTTAAACTGTTTATTTACATTTGCGATTTTTCTGCAAAATTGACTTGCGCATTTTTAACAACGAAAAAGACGAAATCTACAACATTTTTTATCAGATTAAGGTTTCAATGGTACCGTTGTAAATCGAGCATTGCCATGTTAGTATGGAAGATCAATATTGAAACTACGCTTACAGTCCTTTTAAAAACATCCCTGCATGATGATTTTAAAAAATATATTAGGTTTACTGACATGTATCAGTTTCAATAAAGACACTTTTTATTCTTTCTAGAACTCATTACTTAACACGGCCAAGGATGTAAGGCAAGGAGAGTCATTTCAGAAGTGTACACATCTTTAGTACTGCAGTGCACTGTCTCTGGGCGCTAATGTAAACACAAGACGGATGTCGAAGCCTGACATGGGATCCATCATTCACATAAAACAACAATGAAATATTCTGGTCATACGAAACTATTATGTGAATTATCAAAATTATCAAAATTTAATACTTTTAACCTCCTCGGATACCAAACGAACACTGATGCATCTATTATTGTTTACAAATTCCGCCCAGAGAGAACTGGTTTCAATATGTACACAGAGTATACATAACCGTAATTGACTTTCCTTGCCTTACATTCTTGAACACGGCTCAAATTTAATGAATTTGAGCCGCGTCTCAATCCTCCAAGAACCTGTTTCAATTGAGCTCCGGCTTAAATCGTGAAACATTGAATACAATCTTCAATGGAACCAACCATATTTGAGCCGAGTCTCAAATTTAAGCCACTGCTCAAATTCTTTAAATCCGGCTCTGAACTATCTACCCTAAACCTTTACGTTTTCAAAATTATAAAATTTTTAATCAACAGAAGTTAAGTTTAAAATATCAGGCTTTATAGAAAATTAGAGCTTGAGACTCCACTGCCCACATCATCGATCCCCCGCCCCCCCCCCTTCCCACACCAAAAACAAAAGGCATTAGAGAGTAAAAATTTCATGGACCAAACAAAATATTTTGATAAAAAAAGAAAATAAGAAAATGTTGGCAAAAGCATTAAAATAAATAAAATCTTTAAACACATGATATAAATAAAACACAAATTCTTTTTATGTGTAGGCTAGTATCTTGAATAGCATTTTTATTGCCGAATTACACAAAACTTCGCAATAAAACAAATGTAAATATTACAAAATATATTTTTCATATGTATGCATTTGCATTATACAGTTTTATTCATTGGTAAAGAAGGGCTAGAATATATAAGGAAAATAAGCGGAACTACAGGGTGTCCCACGAAACATGACAGTATGCAGGACAACTTGAATGTCGTCTTGATTTTTGATATAATTTGCTGCATTTTTTTGTGAACCTAATTTTAGAGGTAAATTTCTAGAGATAATAATCACAAAATTCCCCTAGTCCTGCCATTTCCAAAATGTGGTCTGCCTTTTTTGTGCTTTCAATATTGCCCGACATATAAAGAATTTCGTTCAGATTTCGACAATTTTGCTTTTATTTACCAAAATTGAAATCTGAACCAAACTCTTTTTATCTCCGGTAATATTGAAAGCACAAAAAACGCAGACCACTTTTTGGAAATGTCAGGGCTAGGAAAATTATGTGATAATTGTTTCAAGAATCATACATGTTAAAGTAGATAGAATACTAAATGTCACAAATAAATTCAAATATTAAAGACGACTTTCAAGTCGTCTTTCTATTGTCATGTTTCGTGGGACACCCTGTACGATACGTGAGCTGAAAACTTTAGAACTGTGGATTAATTTGAGCCATATATAAAACGTTTCCACGGTGAATAATTACTGAGTTTGAGCGCAAATTCGACGTTTAAATCAAGAATTTGGGTGGGTACATTTTCAGAATCGATTTTATTAAATTATTATATAACGACGACGAAAAATATAGTAAAAATTCTATAGTAAACTAATTAGATGTTTAGGAACATATTTCTCAAAGGAAATTTGCCAATAAATCGAAGTTAGAATTAAATATTTCCTTTTTCATCATTTTATTAAATTCTTATTTTCTATGAATTTGTTCGCAGATTTCTTCAAATTCTTTAAATGTCGTCTTTTTAATTATAATTCCAGAAAATCTGCAGAAAATCCCTAGTGATTTAAGAGAGATTATAGAAACTAATAATTGAATAATTATTTTACTATAGAATTTTGTTTACATTTTTGTCGTCGTTATTTGATAATTAAAAAAAAAAAATTTTAAACGTATCCACCCAAAAGTACGATTTTGAACGTCGACTTTGCGCTCAAACTCAGGATTTGCAAATATTTAAAAAGTTTTATATATGTCAAATTAATTCTAAAGAATTTGTCCACAACACTGCATACTTAGTTTAACTAAAATTAAAATTCGGTAATGGTGATGGACCAAACCTCTGTAGAGTAAAAAAGTTGATGTTAGTTCCACATTTATTGAAAATATATTTCGGTCTGGGTTGACCCTCGTCAGTTCTTGAGTTTGTTTCTATTTTTGTTGTTTGGGGTAGACATTCCATGGGAATCGAGCCAATTAGGCCAAAATATTTAATTTTGGTAATGAGAAAAAACATAACGAGTCAAAAATCGTAATAATCATCATACAATATCACCTTGCCCCCCTCCCCATCATCAAGTTTTGTACTAAAAACGTCTTATAGAAAGAAAACTATCAGGAGTGTGATTTTCAAAGTTCATGTATCATGAAATAGCCTTTAAGTCTGAAAATAATAAATAACGGTGGGTGATGTGGAAACAAATTCAGCCATTTTCTCACATGTCGGTGATGCAGATTAGAAGGGCTCTGTTATGAACATTTTAAAGGGACTGTCAACATAATTCTAATTAACCCTCCATTTATAGAGTGGAATCCCTGATTCACAAAGGTATCCTTTAAACCTCTATTGATTAACAAAATAAGAAAAATTATCGTCTCGACGTTTTCTATCTTGAAAAGGGTTAAATTCTTACAGTTTCTATCATTGTCTTTCCACAAAGTTACCGCAATCAAAACTAATCAATGTTTATGAATTTAAATCTTGCTAAAAGGTACTGTAAGCGTAATATCAAGTCACACTCAATTCAAATATGACAATGTAATATTCACAAAGATACCCCTTACAAGATTTGTCTGTTTAATATATATTAGATTTTAATCTTTATAATTTGTTAATTATCAATTTTTATTTGTTGTTTTCAATTATGGGCTGAGGGTCAATTGAAATTATGCTAACAGTCCCTTTAAGAAAGATTATGAAATTGTTGGAGGTGTTTATTTCCATATCACGTGGATTTAACGGTTCTGTCAATATTCCAGAAAGCTGTGACTTTCGATCACAATTTGACCCATTAAGCATAATTTGTAAGCCTTTTTTCCTTTTATACTTTATTGTCGGCATATGCATTTTGAATGAAAATGTATAAAATAAACAAATCCGCAAAGTAAATGATTATTGAATTATAGACCAAAACACGTTTGATTTCAAATAGAAGAAACCGAATGCTGCTCACTCTGGTTAGTCCGGTGTGATATATAAGTCAATAACAAATCCGTAAATGTTAATGATAAAAAGAATAGAAAGAAGCTATGAATATGTATTCAGAATCTATTATACTAGGGGGGGGGAGACTATTAATCAACAGAAGTTAAGTTTAAAATATCAGGCTTTATAGAAAATTAGAGCTTGAGACTCCACTGCCCACATCATCGATCCCCCGCCCCCCCCCATGATGTATCATTTGTCATATTTGGACATCAAACATGGGATTTAGAGGGGGGGGGGGTCAAATTGCCCCCCCAGCATATACTGGTTTTCAAGTACCCCAGCAGAGATAGGGTTAAGAAATTTTTTTTTCTAAAGATAAAACTGTAGATAGCATTTTTATAAAATATCTTTTTAAATAGTAACATGCAATTTTATGTATAACCATAAAATCGTTCATTTATGTTGTCAGTACATACTAAAATCTGGGGGACCTTAAACACAATAGAGAGCAGTACAAATGTACATATTAAACTATTTTGCTCCTTTAATGTCTAGGGTATGTTAAAAAATAGAAATTATGATAGTGATAATTATAAGCTACAATGTTTTACAAAAACGTTTAATTTCTCAAAAATATAAAAAAATTTCTCCCGGAAAATACGCCTTGTTGCTTTACATAGCTGTTTCTATACGCTGGATTTCTATAAGGTTTGACTTTAGAAAAATTGATTCCAACCGGTAAAGGATATTCATTCCTTGGAAACATTAAATATTTTTCTAGATCTTCCAATAATGTTAAATGAGTATTTATTGAGAAAGAAAAAAGATAAAGATGAAATTTTAGAAGTATTAGACTACGGTAAGCATCCTTTGTTCAAACGTGATATACTGTATGTAATACATGAAGATAAGCTAACCTGACACTTGTATTCTCCAGCTTGTGTTCTACTAATATACTGTAATACGAGCAGATGTTCGCCAGGACCGATCATCTTAAAACAAATACATTAATTAAAGGGATTGGAAGCTTAATTTCAAGTGACCTTCTATTTATAGAGAGGCATGTCCCTTTAAAACTTTTTTTGATCAAGGATTTCGTAGATATTCAAATTTATATATCGGGAAATTTAGTGACAATTGAAGCTGTGTGAGTGGTGCATCGTTGTCCGGACATTCCTCGCTATATGTTCTTGTACCTGTTTTAAAAACACGAGACTGGACAGTACAATCAAATGCTTGTACGGGTTTTTATCAGGATAACACTAAACTGGCTGGTACAATTAAATGCTTGTACCAGTTGTAATCAGGATTACACAAGACTGGTTGGTACAATTAAATGCTTGTACCAGTTGTAATCAGGATTACACAAGACTGGTTGTTACAATTTAATGATTGTACCAGTTATAATCAGGATTACACAAGACTGGTTGGTACAATTAAATGATTTTATGGGTTTAATCAGGATTACACATTAAATGATTTTATGGGTTTAATCAGGATTACACTAGACTGGTTGGTACAATTAAATTCTTGTACCGGTTTTAATCAGGATTACACAAGACTGGTTGGTACAATTAAATGATTTTATGGGTTTAATCAGGATTACACTAGACTGGTTGGTACAATTAAATGTTTGTACCGGTTTTAATCAGGATAACACTGGACTGGTTGGTAAAATTTAATGTTTGTACCGGTTTTAATCAGGATTACACAAGACCGGTTGGTACAATGTTATGCTTGTACGGGTATAATTAGGATTACACAAGACTGGTTGGTACAATTAAATGTTTGTACGGGTTTAATATGGATTACACAAGACAGGTTTGATCATGCTACTGTTGCACTGGTGTGATTATAATGTTGTTTACCTTAGAGCCTGAAATATCTATATTGAAGAGATGAGATTTAAAAACCATTCTTTGTAGATCCCTAACAGCTCCTGAGCACAAACATCAAGGATATATTTAAATACTTTCAGATTTTCTCAGTTGGAAAATTATGAATCCTTGAAAACTTTTGCCGCAGAGATTAAATTCATGGACATGAACATGTCGACTAGCTAAACTAACTTTCTTTCTTCTCAAAAGTTCTCAACTATGTCCCTAGTATTGTTGAAATATTAATGGTCATATTTAAAAAAAAAACTTTTTATTTTCAAAAACTTGCGTTCAAAACCAAATACTTCAACTGTTCATGTTTATTCAGAACGTTCGATTTTACATTTCCGCCTTAGACATCAATTAACTGTAGAATTTTAAAAAAAACTTGTTTTTTAACTTTTACTTTAACAATGAAATTATGATTTATACAGGGTGACCCAAAAAACAGGAAATAGCGTTTTTCAGGCTTTGAAATCATTTATAATGATTTGAAAATGTGCTGAAGTTTTTTAATCTTAGAAGGAGTCGTTTACGTAAGTTTTTTCATCCGATTGTTTTTGGAAAATTGGAAAATCTGTTAACTTTAGCTAACCATGTATTGTTTAAGAAACTAACTGAAAGTATTTACATATATCTGAACCCCCCTAGATTTTTCTTCTGGGATTTCTGAAATCCAAGTTGTATACATAGTCCTAAACCCAGAACTCTATGAAAAGAAACCTTCTTTCAAAGAGATGTTGAAGGAATCCCGGCCTCATGGTTGCGAACTGCAGAAATAAGCTATTTTTTTGCAAGGCATCAAATTAGGAACTCTTAAAGAAATAATTTTAAATGTAAATTTTATAGAAATCTAATATGGTATTTATTATTATAATTTCTAAGCAATATAGATTTGAATTAAATAATAAAAATTATTAATTGTTGAGAGTAAACAGAGATGTTTTCAAACATTCAACATAGTCTTACGTCAAACGGAAGCATCAAAGTACAAAATGTTACTTAAACGATCCTTCCTAAAATAAGAATGTATTAAGAATGTAATAAGAATGTAAGGGCACTTTTTCAAGATTTTTTAAATACTAAAACGTCTTAAAAACGTTAATCCCTGTTTTTTGGGTCACCGTGTTTTTTTAGTAATGAATTTTTAAATAGTTTTTTATATAAAATATATTTATAAATTTTACCTGGAATTAGTCGATATACTTCTTCATCTTCATGAAACCACTGAAAAAATTGACTTAGATGAATTAAGTTTTCTTTTATTTTGACAAATAATTTAAAAGAATAACTAATGTGCTGATATTTAAATAAAATTATGACTGACGTATATAGAATACGTAGTTAAACTATCAGACAAAGGAGCTGTATTGGATCAAATCTGAGATTGATGTCTTTTACATAATGGATATCTAGATCAGCCTGGTAAATATCCACTATGTCAAACAAACGTCTCAAGTTCTGGGAATGAATTCAAAGAATTTCAGCTATATTGCTGAACTACCTATTACCGATTCAAATTAGAACCACTGATTCAAAGCTAAAGATTCAGGAAGGGTTAGATTATTGGTGATTCAAATTAGAAGGGGCGGGAGGCAATTCATTATTATTGCTCAGGCAAACATTTTAAGGATCCCGGTATAAATCTTTGTACTATTTTTGTCTATTATGTACTTCACTTTTCTAAGTACCCTAATCCAATGTACTTTACTATGTGGTAACTGTTTACAGGATGTCCGAATAAAAATAGGAATTAGATGACAACCGCGGGAAGAGTTTGAATAAAAACTTGATACGCCAAAGCTTTTAAAAAAGGACATATAAAATTCAAATTTAGTTAGTGGAATGTTTTTTTGCAAATATTTTTTGACACTTTGTAGTCAGAATTTCCATGAATATTTGGCAGGGATCTCGGGAGAAAAGTGATCATAAAATTAACACCAGTAAGAATGCAAAAAGATAAAAGAGAAAGGATCTAACGATGGGAGGAAGGCAACCCACGCCTTTTTTTAACTCCGACCCACAAATGACGTCGCAAAATGGTGTTTTCACTTACCCTAAGCTTCTGAACCACAATCGTTTTGTCTTCCGGCCAAATGTGTGGACTTTTGTATGGAAATAATGGACGAATGTAGAATTATTTTAAATTTTTAAAACGTCATGACATCTGTCATATAATACACTTTCACTATCTATATTTTGGTGACAGTAGCACATCTCCTAGCTTTATCTAATATGTTAAAGAATATTCGGATTACGGGCTATCAATAATCTTGTAATAAAAAGTTTTGAAATCACAAGAAAAAAATTTAAAAATGTCATTTTGCTGTTAGACAAAGAGGGTGTGGCTTTGAAGCTATTGGTTTAAGCGCATGCCGCAAACGCAATTTTGTGACGACATGTATGGGTTGCCTTCCCCCCATCAACAAACCGACTAATACAGATGTGATAAAGCGAATTGGTTTCTGGGCTTAAAATTTTAGCTAGAGCTAAAAATAGAAATTAACTTTCGCTTTGAAATAATATTTCTATATTTTTATACATACAGGGTGAGTAATATAAACAGGGATTATCGATATTTTGTACAAAATTTTCAAATTTTTATTTTTTTCGGATTTAAGGCACAAATAATATAAAATGCGATAGAAAAATATTAAAAAATATTTTAGGAATATTGAATTCCGCGCGCCAATAAAAACTTTTGAAAGAATGAACTTTTTAAAAAATGTTTGGGAAAATGTTTATTCCAGTGTTCTCCAAAATTGGCCTTCATTTTTTGTCATATCTCATTCAATTTTAAATGATTTTTTTTTGTAAAATTTTGGAAATACATAAAATATAATAATTACCAACAATTTTTCAAAAAGTTTAATTTTTTTTAAAATTGGTTTCGCAGATTTCTTTTTCAATGTTCTAAAAATATTTTTGATGTTTTTATCACATCTATTTCATTTATGCCTAAATTCCGAACAAAATAGAATGTTGGAAAATTTTTTCCAAAACATTGACAATCTTTTTTTTACTCAACTTATATTTAACGTTAACGTTGCTTTTTCGGAAAATACATTTTTTACTCCCAAGACCAAACAAATAGCAAAAAGTAGTAAAAAACAACAACTTTTCTTAAATTTCAACTAGCGCCAATAACTTAACAAAAGAAACTTACTTAAATAATAGTTTTCATGGTATATGTTAATCTCAACAATTTAATATTTGCCAATCTGCAGTTTTGAAAATTATTATTTAATTATAAATCAGTTTTTAACGTTAAACAATAACAGCAATAAAAGGGATAAACTTTATTTTCACAAACAAAACATATCGATATCATGATTAGTCTACCTTCAAAGAATAAAAGTCTTTGTGTGATGGAAGGGAAAAATTGCAGTACAAATGTACTGTTTGACCTGCCAGTACATACCGGGGGACCTAAAAACAGTAAAAAAAATTCAAAAATTTTATTACATTACAAATGTACTGTTTGGCCCGCAAGTATGTAGCGGGGTACCTAAAATCAGCATAAATAATTTAACATCTTGCTATAAATCGAAATCAGAGACTTAAAAGCATCCAGGGTTTTCCAAAAATTGGCATCTTTTAGAGCTTTGGGTCTAAAATGTATTTCAAATGTCTATAAAACCCCTAATTGCCTTTTTTTGGGACACCGTGTATGTTTTTTAGACTACATACATAATGGGGGGGGGGACATAACTAGTCAGTCAATATTTATGCTTCGAGAACATTTTAGCTTCAGTTAGATAAATAGAATTAGATTTTAAATTTATTTATTTTATTGACCTATTCTGAGTGGGAGGCTTTCATAAAGACCATTCCCCCCCCCCCAAAAAAAAAAGATTAAGAAATGGACATATTTGTATACCTTAACTTGAACAAGGTTAGTAGTTTGAGCAGTGTAACTAGGATATCTAGGTTCAATCCTTACTCCGGGCCTAGGTTCCATCTTTACTCCGGGTCTAGACTCAACCCCTGGATATGATCTAGGTTCTAATCCAGAATACTGGGTCAACCGTGAGTCCAGACCAAATGTTGTGGAGGAAAGACATTTTATATGAGAGAAAATTATTCCAAAAATGATTGTTGAAATTGTCATCTGAAAAATAAACATTTATGTAAAAAATTATTTAACAAAACTTTTAGTTTTCGTGTTCTGTTTTATATCACAATTTGTAAATGTAATATTTCTGTGTCAACGAATCTATTTAAACAGTCCAACGAAAATGTAATGGTTTGAATTCAAAAGTTTAATTTGTGTAGAATGTTAAATACATTCTAAAATATTTGAAACTATTTTATAGAATCACATAAACTGTGTTTTAATGAAATTAAGGAAACATGAATTACAAAAGGTTCAATACTTGTCAGCCTTAACAGTCTTTATGACATTCCTTCCTTCTCTCTCTTGTTGAAACATTTCACTTTGCACAAAGTATATACACAAAGAGGAGTTCCTTAACCCTATATAGGCTGGGGAGGAGGGGGGGGGGGGTCTGAATCTAAAAACAAGGGGAAAAGCGTCCCGCGACTACCTCCTAGAAAACAGACTCAAAGAATAGATATGAAATTGCAATTTGAACATGAGCAATGTGCATACTTCAATTTTACAAGGCAAAAAAGATTGGGTGCTAGAGAGATTTAAAAAAGGTTGAAAAAATGTATTTTAAAAAAATAGCTTTTTGTCAAATAAAAACATGTGAGTGTGCTGTAGCCTGTGTGACACATGTCAAAGAGCATTTTAAAAATGTCAATTTTTAAATCTGTAGCTTCAACTCTAAAGTTTGGACTATTTATAAAAATAAGAGTTCTAGGGCAAAACAAACTAAGAGGGGGGGAGGCTAAATGCGATTAAATTTAGTTTTTGAAATATTTAGGCAGTTAATTCTGGAACAAGATTTTATGAGTTTTGAGACATGGATCATGGTTGAACCCGCTTATGAACCTAAGGAAAAGTAGAAAAATATCGCAAATTCGATATTATTGATTAAATAATATGATGGAGATGCGTATGATTAGAACTCTCCTATTTATTTTAAAGTTATATCTACATAATCAAAAATATTTTACTTTTGTTTAAATTCCTATAAAAGTAGCTAAATATCTATATTTATATCCATTTGTTAGATTAAACTTTTTCCGAAACAAATTTCCCTTAAAAAATATCCACTTATTCTTGTAAAAAAAATATCCACTTATCCTTATTAGAAAATATCCACTTATCCTTGATAAAAAATATCCACTTATCCGTGTTAAAAAAATATCCATTTATCCTTGTTAAAAAATATCCGCTTATCCTTGTTAAAAAATATTCACTTATCCTTGTTAAAAAAATATCCACTTATCCTTGTTCAAAAAATATCCACTTATCCTTGTTAAAAAATATCCACTTATCCTTGTTAAAAAATATCCACTCATCCTTGTTAAAAAAATATCCACTTATCCTTGTTAAAAAATATCCACTAATTCTTGTAAAAAATGCCATTCTATAAGATCTATAAAATGCGCAAAACAAAGAAATTATTTTGCGGAATTTTTACAGAATATTTTTGTAACATTTGTGGAAGCTTGAAAGGTTAGCTGATAAGTCTGTTTATCTAAAAGTTTATCATACCTCTGATTGTGTCTGATTGGAACACTATTTCCTTTTACTTCCTCATTACTTAATCACGGGCAGCCGTAGTACATTTGAATTTCCGAGCCGTGTCAACCTTTCCGGTTCCAGTTTTTACTGTACCGCACGGGCATTGGGTAAATAAAGCAGACACTCAATATTACTAGCCGGTGCAACAAGGATCAGAGTTGTAGTTGTGAATCGGACACTGGCATCTTTGCAAGGAGGTTTAATTGAAATTATACTCTAACAGTCCCTTTAAATGTTTATTATTTTAAAAATAACTGCTTGATAGTTCATACAAATCTTAGTACATTTTTTTTCTTTTTCCAAAAAAATAAATTTTCTAAGTTCTCAGCTTTAACAATTTAGTTAAGAAATCGATTTCTTCAATTTGGCCTAGAGTGTAACTATCAAATCCAGTTCAGCCACTTTTTTTGCGATTAAAAAGATCCAGCTATCATTGTAAAGTTGTTATCAAGTCCTGTTATTAAAGAGATAAAATTGAAAAGAAGAAAATGATTAGAATGATTTATGTAACTATTTAGGTTTTCTTTTGCATAAAACTAAAAACTAAAGAAGCTACAAGGTCACAAAGTCTTACCAGAAATATTGCATAAGTTTGACCTTCTTCTGTTATATGTAGTTTATTTAGTTACGTGCAGGGGATGATAGTTCTCTACCTGTGTGCTATGTTAGCTGTAACTTACAACTGTTTACTAATAATGATATACTATAAGTTAGGCCAGAATCAACTTATAATAAACAAATATGCAGTACGCTCTCGGTATAGTTTATGGCCTATACAATTAGTAAAGGATTAGCGTACATCATCACTCTATACACTATAACCTCGTTGGTTACATGAATAATTTTTCCAGAAAAAATATTGATTTGCTTCTATATTGTAATATTCTCTTATTTCAGTTCTGCAGTATAATCTGAAGATAAGATGTGACATTGATTCAGGAAGGTGGGGGGAAGGGGGTGGGGAGGTTGGAGATGGGGATGGGGAGGTATTGATTCCCCGAGTATCTCTTATTCATCAGAGCTAAAAGAAAACGGTTGTGAGTGTTTATATATTTAGTAACTCCGCAACAAATAATAAATATTCATGAAGTATTTAACTCAATGTTCTTTTAAACCTATTATTTCTTTTATATGACGTCATTGGCTGCAGTATTGGTTCTAAATTCAAACAATCAACATAAAAACTCTAGTTATCAAATAAAGCAATCATTGTAGGTGCTAAAAATGGTGGGAAAATAATGACACGAATATAAACTTCTAAATTTGTTTTTATCAGTTATAGGATAGGATGCTCTCCTGTTAAAATAAAGCTAAAATTGTAATTTTGTTACGCATCTCATTTGTATGACAAATACTACATATTTTGAAATAAAATTTGTCAGATGTCATTAAGTATAGTTTTGGTATAGTCTAAAGCAGAATTTTAGGCCGGTAACGCAAGGAAGGTCCTAAAAAACCTTGGTTTTAAGTAGCCACATTTGTTTTAACCAATTACATTGCAATCTGTTTTAATATAACTAGCCGGTGCAACAAGGTTGATGCGGTCAGACATTATGCTTCATATTTTACTGAAGGTGCATGATTTAGGTTTATATAAAACTTAATCAAAATAAATAGTCAAAAGAATATGAAAGTAAAACTAAACATGAAAAAATGAAAACCTAATTGAACATGAAATAACAAATAAAATTGGACATGAAAGATAAAAAAACTAGAATCAAAAGAAATAAAACTGTAATATGAAACAATTAAAATAAAATAAAATTTGACAAAAAAGATAAAAAATTGAAATTGAGTTGAAAATGAAACTGGACATGAATATATGGAAATAAAATTGAACATGCGAAGATAGAAATGAAAAGAAACATGAGAAGATGAAAATGAGTTTGTATTTTGTACATCAGAACATGAAAACTTAATAGGAAATTAATTATACATAAAAAATAAAGGACTAAATAAACGTGAAAAAGAAAATGAAACTAAAACTTTACAAAAGAAAAAGCAATGAAATGATTAAAATAAAATAAAATTTTGCATAAAAAAAAATTTAAAAAATTAGACACGAGAATGTAATTGGAAATTCAGTTTCGGGGAGAAAATGGGGATAATTTTTTTAAAAATTGTAACAGTACAGTTGTCAGAGGATGAGAATCTTTTTTCTAATAAGGGGTGGAGGTAAATTCTTCTTTTCTTTTCATCTACAACAACTTGAAAACTAGACTCATTGAATGCAAATCAGGTTTGTTAGAGGGACAGAGTTTGAGGGTCTTTCAATCTCAACACTTTTGATGCTTTGACCGTGTAGTAAAGCATCCAAAGTGTAATTTGAAAGCATCATAATCAACATTTGAAAGCATCATAAGCAAGGAGCAATCAAATTTGATGCCTTAATCACTTTTTTTAAAGAAAATATTAACTTCCCAGTCAAATTATGACTTCATAAGCTAAGAATTAGGAAGCATTGTTTTTCCCTGTGCTTTTCAGATGGATTTAACTCCACAAACATTTCCTCATTGGTTTTAAAACAAGAAGAAAGAAATTCTTAATATTTCAGGTCAAAAATCATTTTTGATGCTTTTCAGAAAAAACTGAGAAGGGCAATTTTTGGCAAGAGTCAAACTCTTATACAAAATTGAACGAGAAAAATGAGACTTAGAAATGATTGTGACTTATAATTTGAGACTTAGAAAGTGTCTTAGACATAATTTTGTCTCCAAGAACAGGCTTAAACATATTTGTGACTTGTGCCTGTGACTGACAATGTGTTTTAGACATGGTTAAGCCTTACCAAGCATGACAAAGGAATAGTTTTGTCACAAGAGTTGTGTCTTATACAGAATTTAGCCTTTAGAACTACTGTCAAGTGAACAAGACAAGCTACTGTAGAATACTGTCTTTCAAATAATATACAAAGAGTCTATATACTAAGGTGAATTGTTCTAGAATCAGGCTGCAGTACACACAGTACTGCAGTATGCAGATCAGGGGCTCCACAAGCCCACAAATGTGACTTAGACATGATTGGGACTGAGAAGGTGTTTTTGTGACTTAGAAAGTGTCTTAGACAAGGCTGTGACACAAATTGGTCTGAAAAAAAAGCCTTGACTTAGAACTGTCACTTAGAGGGGAGAACTGTGAATTAGGACATAAGTGTGACTGAAATGGTGCTTCAGACCTTATAAAGACTCAGAATTGTGACTTAGAATGTGTCTTAGACAAAACTGTGACTTAGAAATGTGTCTCAGACATGATTAGGTCTATTGAGTTTGTCTTCAAATGGTGACTTAGAATTGTGACATAATTTGGTCTCAAAAGTTGTGACAACTTAGAAAGATTCTCAGACATTTCAGATTGATTTTAGAAAACTTTAAAGTGCCCCATATGATATAGAATATGACATTAATGGATCAATTATTATCTAGTTTTAATGGCTACCCATACTAGTAAAATTAGTGCAAATTTCATACAGTTACTGACCTTAAATCACAAGTTATTGGACTCTAAGTCACTTTTCTAAGGCTGTTCTACACTTAAAAAAAAAAAAAAAAAAAAATTAAAATTGAGATAAATTTGACCTTTATATCATTGTGACTTGTGACTTAGGGTTGTGACTTAGAATTGTGACTTAGAACTGTGACTTAGAATTGTGTCTTAGAATATGTCTTATACATAATGTAGAGTAAAAAACGTGACTTAAGACATAATTAGGTCATAAAATTTGTGACTCAGAATGTGTCTGCTAGATAATATGGCCTAAAAACGTGAACTAGACATAATTTGTCATTAGAATTGTGACTTAGAATGTTTCCTAGACATGTTTATGACATTAGTTGTGTCTTAGACATGATTTTGACTAAGATTTATTTCTAATACATCTTGTAGCCTAAAAAACGTGACTTAGACATAATTCTGACCTTGAATTGTGTTTTAGAATATGTCTTGGACGTAGTTATACATAGTATAGCCTAGAAACGTGACTTTGACATAATTGTGACTAAGAATTGTCACCTAGAGAGCGTCTAGACATGATTGTAATTGTGACATGGAATTGTGTCTTAGCATGTGTTTTATGCATGCTGTAGCCTAAAAATTGTGACTTAGACATACTTTTGACTAAGATTGTGACTTAGAATGTGTCTTAGATGTAATTGAGACTTAGAGTTCTGACTTAGAAATTGGTCCAAACAGAACGTGACTTAGAATGTGTCTTTTACAGGAATTAGCCTAAAAAAACGTGACTTAGACGTACATATCATTGACCTTGAATGGTGACTGAAAATGTGTCCTAGACGTAATTGTGACTTAGAATTGAGACCTAGAAAGAGTCTTAGACATCATAGTAATTGTGACTAAGAATTGTGTCTTAGAATGTGTCTTATACATATTGTAGCCTAAAAAAAACGTGACTCAATCATAACTGTGACTATGAATTGTGTCTTAGCATGTGTCTTATGCATGTTGTAGCCCAAAAATTGCGACTGAGACATGATTTTGACTAATATTGTGACTTAGAATGTGTCTTAGATGTAATTGAGACTTAGAGTTCTGACTTAGAAATTGGTCCAAACAGAACGTGACTTAGAATGTGTCTTTTAAAGGATTTAGCCTAAAAAAACGTGACTTAGACATATTATTGACCTTGAATGGTGACTGAAAATGTGTCCTAGACGTAATTGTGACTTAGAATTGAGACCTAGAAAGAGTCTTAGACATCATAGTAATTGTGACTAAGAATTGTGTCTTAGAATCTTAGAATGTGTCTTATACATATTGTAGCCTAAAAAAAACGTGACTCAATCATAATTGTGACTATGAATTGTGTCTTAGCATGTGTCTTATGCGTGTTGTAGCCCAAAAATTGCGACTGAGACATGATTTTGACTAAGATTGTGACTTAGAATGTGTCTTAGATGTAATTGAGACTTAGAGTTCTGACTTAGAAATTGGTCCAAACAGAACGTGACTTAGAATGTGTCTTTTACGTACAATTTCCGATTCAATGAGTCCAATTTTAGGCTTGTAGATCTAAAAATGACAATTTTAATGTCTCTTAAAGTTTCCAACTGGAGTGAGTAAATTTGGTAAAAGTAAAGATAATCTCCGTTAGCACATAAGGGTCTGTGCAGACTTGTTTGTAATCGGATTTTCAAAGACGATTTTTTATATCTACGTACAATTTCCGATTCAATGATCCGAATTTTAGGCTTATCTAAAATAAACCATTGTAATGTAATAAACTGTAACCTAACATTGATTATAAATTGTGAAAACGGAGATTATCCTTTTTACTTCGCTCCAGTTGGAAACTTTAGCTGAGTCTATAGAATTGTTATCTTTAGATCTACAAGCTTAAAATTGGAATCATTAAATCGGACATTGTACGTAAATATCAAAAATGGTCTCAATCTTGATAATCCAATTACAAGCAAGTCTGTAATGTAGACACTTATACAAAACTAGGCTTTTAGGGCGCTTCGCGCCCATCTTCTATTTCAACTTTTAATTGTGGCTTTATCTGTGAGCATCTTCTCTTCGTACAGCATAAAACAAAAACAAAAAAGTTTGCGGATTTCATAATATTTTTTCTAAATTATACAAAAATAAAAAACGTTTAAACACAATTTTTTAAAATTTTGATAATTCGAAAACCTTCCCTGGGGGTCACGTGAGGTCCCACACAAAATTTGGGCCCGATCGGTTCAGTCGTTTTGACGTTTATTGGATACAAACAAACAGACAGACAAGCCAAATGTATATATAGATTGTGCAAACGGAGATTATCTTATTTTTACCAAATTACTCATTCCAGTTGGAAACTTTAGGAGCCTGTATAATTGTTATTTTAAGATCTAAAAACCTAAAATTTGACTTGCAACGAAAATTATACGTAGATTTTTAAAATGGTCTCAATCTTATTAATCCGATTCAAAACTTGTCTGTAGACCCTTCTTCCCGTTTTGATTAGACACCCTGTATATAGATGTATTTATTAGACACCCTGTATACAGATGAATTTATTTGCCTGAAGATTTGCAATAACTGCAGCAGCCATAGTTCCAGCATAGTGCTCTGATAAAACAACAAACAAACTCAATTTGAACATTTCAGCCATTATTGAAAGCAAAAAAAGTGTTTTAACCCATCAAGCTCTGGATACTGTTTGGTTAAATCTGCTGTTGAATTTTACATCCAAATTAAGAACCGTATAAGTGACGATATAAATTGTGAAAATATTTTGTGTTTTATCCCTGATATGCTGAGCAGATTCTGTACCAAGACTAAACAATCTTCAATCTTCTTCTCATTCTCATTCTTATCCAGCTCACTTCACACACACCATATCATTCTTACAATTTAACAATATTATTAGCCAACTAAAAACCTTCGTTTTTCATTACAAAACTAAAAATTTACCTCAAAATATAATTTTTGATAATAATTGTGTTATGTCTAAATAATAAGAACAGATACAATTTATCATATTCAGTTTTTTCAATTAATTTTCTAAATTTAAGTCAAACCCGATGATTTTTTTACTCAAATATCTTAATATATTTCCTAAATAAATTTAACTATTTACCCCACTCCTCCTTAAAAGTTTAGAAGAAACTAAAAATTCGAAATCAACAGGCCCGGAAGCTTTTTGCCAATTTTAGATACAGTTAACACAAAATAATCTTTACTGAAAACCGTAGATTTTCTTAATTAAACAAGTGTTAAAAATTACAATCGAATAGGGGGGGGGGGCTGAAATAAGAGAGTATACAGAAATCAATTGAAGGTTAGAATATGCGATATTTTCAAGGGCGTATACAGGGGGGGGCAAGGGGGGCAGTGCCCCCTTAGAACTCAGAGCTATGACACTTTTCAAATCTGAAACTGAAGAGTGAAGAACATAAAAAATTTCGTTTACTATTTTTTCTGCTAGTTTTGTTTGAAGGAGAGATAAAGTAGTGCTTGCAAGGTAACTGAACTGAATGTGTACCTTTACAGTATCCAAGAAGCAAAATGTTTTAACTTAATCCCAAAATGGTTATTATAAGTAACAATTGGCTGTTAAATAACAGTCAAAACCTTTTTTATGAATACAGCATGTCGTGCCGGTACGACTATAGGTCTACTTAGCCCAGCTTGTGAAAGCTGATTAGCATTCTGTATATATCTAGAGGGGGGGGGCATTTATTGATATCTGGTAAGAATATATCAGGATGACATAGTTTCCTGATGTAAAGCTTTAGAAGTTTAAGTATTGGCCAGGTAAACTTCGGTTCATTAAAAACATCTTTAACCTAAAAAATATAACTTTGTTTATTCTGAAACAAACTTTTTTATATTTATTTACTACCTGAGAGAGGTAAAGTTTGTGCTCTGAATACAGTTGTTCTGTTACAGGTTCTAACATTTCGCCCATACTACTAGAGTGCAGTATATTGTACATTTAGTATATACATTTTACACTTATCAGATATTATGCATTTAATGCATGAATAATATTCAATATACATACATGTAGGTATTTATGTATATTTCTACGTTTAACATTGTATGTATAAGCATAATTAACGTAGAACATTTTTCATATATTCTTAATCAATACAGTAACCCCCTCCCCCACTTTTTTTAATGTCCTTTTTCTTAAAACTTGTAATGAAAAATAAACTAATAAATTAATTTGTAAAACTTACTCTATTTGTGCAGTTAGCTTACATAAAATCTGTAAAAAAGAATTCCAAAATTGAAAAATTCAAAGATTCACCATCGTCGCCACCTTTCAACATAGGTAAACCGCTCCTAATTCAAGTATTTAAATTGTATCTACATTCTACATTTATCGATGCATTTTGAACAAAATACATATAATAATTTTAATTTTTTTGTCTTCTATAAAACCTCGGCGTAAGGGCAGCGAGGGTGAAAGGTTTTTCTGGGTTAATGAATACTTATAAATTTTCCAATGAAAAATATTTGCTCCCTTAACTTTGGCACAATATAAATTATGTTTTGTTTAAAACTTTTTTTTGACCTTTTCTAAACGGACAGATATCAAAGCATCAATGAAGTTTAAATTCCCCACATCCGAAAAAAAGAACATTTTTTATGAATTCCCTGGATAATTTCTTCAAGCATAACAAGATCTATCTCGGGACGAAGATGAACTAACGCCTGCAATCAAATATTTAAATTTTCAACAAAATATTAATTTTCATTTATCATTTCAGGGGAAGACAATTCCAAACCGTGCTTATTTTCCAAATCTGACACTGAGTGTCAGATTTGGGCACAAATATTTTAGTAACTCTTCTTAACTCGAGAGCAAATATCAATTAAAGAAACTATTTCCAAAATATTATTAAGCACAACGAGAACTACAAATAACACTATTTACTTCTTTTCTTAAATTAAAACTGTGAGGAACTGTTCATTTTCAATAAAAACCCATAACATTTTCAAACCAATTCAAGGTTTTTCATTTTCGCACGAATGTCACGAATTCGGATCTTGGACGCGTTTTGAAACATATACCAACTTTTAAAACAATCTATAATTTGATTTTGACTTCCTGGAACCGGATCCGGATCCAAGGGACAAAATATCAACCAAAAACTGCAAAATAAAAACTTTTTCACTCTCAAAACCCAAATCCCAACTGTTGAAAAAATTATTATAAAGATTTCCTGATCTCCGAATGGTTAATCAAGTTTTAGCATAAAAATAAGCGGAAAAAAAGAAGAAAAGTAATTTGACAATTCTGCTTTGTTAAAAAATTCAGCAAATCTTAGAGATAAGTTTATGATCTGGATCCGTATCAATTTTTTTCAGTGCGAATCCAGGATCTGGATCCGGATCCGCATCAAAATTAAATGGATCTTAAGCGCTCACACATCATATAATGAAAATCTATTACTTAAAAAATTTGACCTGTATAATCTGGTTGTCAAGCACTTTCTCTCTAAAAAAAAACATCATTAAAAAATTCGAAAAATGTTGACAATCGAAATCTCGGGATGTGAAGGTTCTTTGAAGAATTAACCTTGTAGCTCCCTCAGATATTATACCTAAGCAGTGTACTGTTCAGTGATCGTACCTTAGAATTGTACCCTGTACCCACTATAGAGAATTTTAACCTAAGCTGGAAATTTCAGTTGAGTGTGATATGAGAATTGTATCCGGTATTATGTACTCTAACCTGAGAATTGTATCCTGTACTATGTACTCTAACCTGAGAATAGTATCCTGTATTATGTACTCTGACCTGAGAATAGTATCCTGTATTAAGTACTCTAACCTGAGAATTGTATCCTGTATTATGTACTCTAACCTGAGAATATGTATCAAGTACTCTAACCGGAGAATTGTATCCTGTATTATGTACTCTGACCTGAGAATACTATCCTGTATTAAGTACTCTAACCTGAGAATTGTTTCCTGTATATCTACTCTCACCTGAAAATTGTATCCTGTATTATGTACTCTAACCTGAGAATTGTACCCGGTGTTGTGTACTCTAACCTGAGAATTGTTTCCCGTAGTATGTACTTTAACCCCGAGAATTGTTTCCCGTATTATGTACTTTAACCTGAGAATTGAATCCTGTATTATGTACTCTAATCTGAGAAGTGAGAATTGTACCTTAAATTATGTACTCTTACCAGAGAACCGTATCCTGTATTGTGTACTCTAACCTGAGAATTTTACCCTGCATTGTGTACTCTATCATGAGAATTGTATCCAATATTATGTACTCTGTCCTGAAAATTGTATCCTGTATTATGTACTCTAACCTGAGAAATATATCCTGTATTATGTACTTTAACCCGAGAATTGTTTCCCGTATTATGTACTTTAACCTGAGAATTGAATCCTGTATTATGTACTCTAATCTGAGAAGTGAGAATTGTACCTTAAATTATGTACTCTTACCAGAGAACCGTATACTGTATTGTGTACTCTAACCTGAGAATTGTACCCTGCATTGTGTACTCTATCATGAGAATTGTATCCTGTACTATGTACTCTAACCTGAGAATTGTATCCTGTATTATGTACTCGGATCTGAGAATTGTGTCCTGTATTATGTACTATAACCTGAGAATTGTATCCTTTATTATGTACTCTAACCTAAGAATGGTATCCTGTACTGAGTACGTGCAAACGAGAATTATACCCTGAATTGTGTGCTCTTACCTGAGAATTGAATCCTGTACTATGTACTCTAATCTGAGAAGTGAGAATTGTACCTTGAATTATGTACTCTTACCAAAGAACCGTATCCTGTATTGTGTACTCTAACCTGAGAATTATACCCTGCATTGTGTACTCTATCATGAGAATTGTATCCTATATTATGTACTCTGACCTGAAAATTGTATCCTGTATTATGTACTCTAGCCTGATAATTGTATCCTGTATTATGTACTCTAGCCTGATAATTGTATCCTGTATTATGTACTCTATCATGAGAATTGTATCCTGCATTATTTACTCTAGCCTGATAATTGTATCCTGTAATGAGTACTTTAACCTAAGAATTGTACCCTGCATTGTGTGCTCTAACCTGAGAATTGTACCCTGCATTGTGTTTCCTTAAAGTATTGTACCCTGCATTGTGTACTCTTACCTGAGAATTTTACCTGCATTGTGTACTCTTAACTAAAAATTCTACACTGCATTGTGTACTCTGACCTGAGAATTCTACTCCTGAGTGTAAGATCAATATCAGAGTCTAAAGCAGAATTTAGTTTCTTTAACTTCCACAAGCTTCCATCGTGAAGACGATATCTAGACAAATTAAATTTATTCACCAACCAGTGTTCAAGATCCGGATCCATTTTTACGGGACGGATCCAGGGTTGGCATCAATATGAAGTTAATCCTAAGCACCGCCACTAACAACACGTTAAAAGAAATCAAAGGGGAAAACCCTTTAAATAAAGATTTCAAATAATTGCTTCCACAATGGGACTACAGAAGTAATTTCAAGTGACCATACTGTTACAACATGTTCGATTTACAGTTAGCAACTTTAAAGAATAAATAAAATATAAAAATCTTATAAAAGAGATTGTTTTCTATTGTTGTTTCTCTGTTAGGTGGCTTGCCTCTTTTTAAATGGAAAGTCGCTTAAAATTTTAAAAATCAGTCCTATTAATGTGCACGATACCTGTTTCCATCCATGTAACCCAGATTTACATCCATTTTTAGTTCCTTGCGGGTATCCTTTCCCACTGGATATTTATCACCACTTCAGGTGTATCCTTTAAGGAATTTCTAACTACATCTCTGAAATATAATTCTTTATAATTATAAATGTCGAAAAGTGACGTCAACTGAAATATTTATAGTTTGAACCGAATAATGGACAAAACAGCAGAACCGATTTTGCCCAATTTGATGTCCAGGCCTTCAATAAAATTCAATCTTAAAATTTTTGGAAATTCAAAAGTAATACTTGAAAATCTTCTGCAACACTTCTTGTTGATCCAGTCTTGAAAATTGATTCAACTTTTTATAGAAGTCTGGATTTATGTCAGTTAAACAAAATTTTAATGTTAATTTCACGTTTAATTGAAACCTATGTTTAATTCGCAAAACTCTTATCTTAAAAGGTATTAAAAAGTTAAAAATTTCTAATGTGAAACCAAATACATTTGATTACTAACACTAAGGCGTAAAATCACAAATAGGAGGTACTAGGTCACAAAGTCATAAAAGTAATTTCCAATTAGTTTGACCCTTTCCCTATGTCTAGACAAAGGTGACTTCTTGGGATGTCTTGTAGGAAGTTCTATTATTTTTCAGATCTATAATTGGTCTAAATGTATTTCCTTTTTCTATCAGAATCGATTACACCTATTTCTTCCTCTCATTGCCAATGACCCTTCTTATCTGCTAATCTGCTATTGCTGTGGGTCAACCGTCACAGACTTGTTTTATAAAGACAGGCTAGTTTTGTGTTACTGTCGTATTATAGTTTAAAGTTCTTTTCATGAGAGGACTTTCGTCGTATTTAAGTGGCCTTCAATTTAAAAATAAGGACAAGCCCAATTCACAACGGTACTTTTGAAACTTTTATTTGGTTAATAATGGGGCCAAGACAACTTAGTTTTTCTAACTTATTGTAGTTTTTCTAGAAAAGCAACTTGCACATTCCTACTGCAGGAAAGCATATAAGAGTTATCAGGGGTGGATATAGGGGGGGGGCGGGGGGTATTCGCCCCCCCCCTGAATTTGGAATTTTTTGTTCCTATTTTCGTAATAGCTTCTCAATAGCATGCTTAAAGGGAGTGACCGGCTATGTAAGGTAGTTGAACTGAGTACGCAGTGTTGTCGAAAACTTCTTTAGGATTCATTTGAGACATATTACGCTTTTTAAAGATTGGTAAATCCTGAGTTTGAGTGCAAAGCCGACGTTCAATACTACTCCTACTTTGGGGGTGGATACGCTTTCAGAATTAGTTTTTTTTAAATTTTTAATTAACGACGACATAAAATGTAAAAATATTCTACAATAAACTACAGACGTCATGTTGTAACAATTTGAGAAAATAAAAATAAATCTTATCATCGAAAATAAGTAATTATGTTCAATTATTAGTTTCTATTATCTCATTATTCTGGTTTCTCATTATTCACAAAGATGTTGGCAGATTTTCTATTATTATTATTGAAAAGACGACATTTAAAGAATTTGAAGAAATCTGCGAATAAATTCAAAGAAAATTAGAAATTCAATATAATAATGAAAACGAAATAATCGATTTTAGCATTGATTTATTGACAAATTTCTTTTGTGAAATATGTTCCTATCCATCTAATTAAATTACTGTATAATTTTTACTTTATTTTTCGTTGTCGTTATTTAATAATTAAAAAAAAACTAATTCTGAAAACGTATTCACCCCCAAAGTAGGAGTTTTGAACGTCGAATTTGCGCTCAAACTCAGGATTTACAGATCTTTAAAAAGTTTAATATGTCTCAAATGAATCCGAAAGAAGTTTTCCATAACACTGCATACTAAGTTCAACTACCTTACATAGCCTTACTTACTACTTACTACCTTAAGGGAAAGAAACCCTAGTGCAAAACAGGAAAAATATCTGTCTTAATAAACTATAATGTATAAAAAGTTAAAAATCTAGTTTGTTCGTCTTTAGTCATTAATTTTGACTCTTTTTGAGTCTATTAGGTCAAAAAAAAATTTCGCCTGTGTCACCATTTTTTTTCCCTAATAATGAATTTTTTTGTTCCTAAAAAATCTTGCCCCCTCCCCCCTCACTTAAATCCTGTATCCGCCCCTGAGAGTTATCAGAATTTAACACCTCATAACACTTTTTAAAGCCACAATATCAATCAATACAAGGGTACTGTTGTAAATTGGTCATTGTCTATCTTTGCATGAAGAGACATGTAGAACATAGAACTGATAATATGTATTTTATTTAGAGATTTTTGAGATGTGAAGAGCCGAGCGGGGTCAGCCTTTAGCGCTAATAATTTTAATTTAAAGAATCCTTCCTCATAAGACAAACATATTTCTTCTTCTAACATAGTAGCATAGAATGGGGGAAGAAAAAGGATTAAAAAGCGGAAAATACAGAGTTACTCACTAAGTATGAGACTATAAAAACCACGTAAAACTGTAACAAGTTGGAGTTTGTATTGAGTCTTCTTGTAGTAAATAACCTACTCCCGAATGGTTTCTCTAACAAATATCAATCAAGGTACAGTTCAGTTTCACTTAGCTATCAATAATTAAACCCGGATACATCCGTAACTACCCATCCCAAATTAAAGGGACAATCCTCAACCTGTTTATCAAAACAGGGAACCACACGGATACAATCTCGTGATCTATCAACACCACTACTTGGGGCAATTTCATTAGCTATCAATGTAAATAGGGGCTATAGCGCTATTAATCGAGCTCTAAATGTCAAACAGGGACACAAGCATAGCTATCAAACAAGCTATTAATGGAGCTCTAAATGTCACACAGGGACACAAGCGTAGCTATCAAACAAGCTATTAATCAAGCTCTAAATGCCACGCAGTCCTCAAAACGTATTTCCAGGTACAACCCATCTGCTATCAAAGTCAACCAGGACACAATCCAAATAGCTACAATCTTGTGAACTATCAACCCCACTACCAATGGGTGCAATCTCGTTATCTGTCGATGTCAATACAAACACTAGCTATTAATGGAGCTCTAAATGCCACATAGGCACACAAGCATAGTTATCCAACAAGCTATCAAAGCTACTAAGCGAGCTCTAAATGTCACACAAGCGTAGCTATCCAACAAGCTTTAAATCATGCTATGAATGCCACACAGGGACACAAGCATAGCTGTCAAACAAGCTAGTAATTGTGCTCTAAATGCCACACAGAGAAACAAGCCTCACTATCAAACCATCTATTAAACATCAATCCCAAATAAAAGGGGCTGATCTTCCAACCTGTTTTATTATAACAGGGAATGATTACTCGCTCGCAGTAAACAGTACAGAGTTACTATATCAACTAACTTAATTTTGATATCTTATGTTACAAGTTAACATGAATTGACGTGATTACAATTCCTACCTCGTTACTTATATCACATGATTAAGACAATCATGTTATGTATTAACCAGGCATGTTAAAGTTTAATGAATGTATTTATGAGATTAGTGAGGATAGAAATAATGTAGTTAAGCTATCTCCACATATGTTTACAGCTTTGTTTAAGTTGAATATTTGTATTTAAAGGATTAACATGGATGATGTAATCATAGTTAATCTAATCACAATGCATGTTTTCATCATATTACATAGCTCCTGTTTAATATAACTAGGTATGCTCAGGTAAACAAATATGGGGATGGCTACGATATTTGCTGCATTCTGTCTTGAACTAGTAAACTTAAATTGCAGCTTATTTAATGATAATATTTTGCAAAGAAAGAACTAGTTAACAATTGCAGAGAACCAAGGTTTCTAGCAAAACCAACAGTTAAAATTTCAGTTTGGGTTTCAGAAGCTAGCCAGTACTACAATGTGCAGCTGGGGGGTCAACTCTGTAGTGGATTATTATAACAGAGCTGGTAGAGCAGTTTATGCTTGTGCAATGGATCTGAGTAAGGCATTTGATCTTGTGTCATGGGAAGTGCTCTTCACAGAGTTATTGGAGAGGGGTGTTTCACCTCTAGCATTAAGGTGTTTAATGTTCATTTACTCAAATCAAAAATGTAATGTTAGATGGGGTAATGCATTCTCAAATACCTTCAATGTACAAAATGGTGTCAGACAAGGAGCAGTTTCTTCCCCTGTGCTATTCTGTATTTACATTGACAAAATTATCAAGCTNTTTGACTGAGTATTGCATCTTAAAATATCACAAAGCCTAATGATTATTCAATTACTGACTCATACTAAATCCATCTTAAAATCACTCATTAACCATCTTTTTCTGCCAAAATATAAAACAAACGAACCTCTTTCTCATATATTAACATATTAATCTTATGTAAAGAATTGAAAAAATGGTTTGAGTTGTGCTTTTTTGGATGAGGCGGCTGGATTCCAGAAAATCACACCCTAAGTATACCATAAAACAGATAGTTTAGTCCGGAAGAGTCCAATGTGGTGGCCCTGAAGGGAAAATAGTGGTGGCTTATAGCTGCCGGAAGAAAAAAAAGCTAATATGTGGCACGGAAGGGGAAATAGTGGGGTCTGTCCTAGTATACGATTTTTGGACCCCCCCCCCCCCTCCTATCAATTTTGTACATGACCATTTATTTTTCAGCAAATTTATTATTATTTATTTTTTTGTTATTTAGGGTTAGGTTAGGTTAAGACAATTTCTGGGCCGAGCACTGCGGCTAGGATGGGCTAGGGGGCCGAGCGCTGCGGCCACGGGTTAGGTTAGTTAAGACACTTTCTGGGCCGAGCGCTGCGGCTAGGACAGGCTAGGGGGCCGAGCGCTGCGGCCACAGGTTAGGATAAGTTAAGACACTTCCTGTCAGACCCATGTACAAAATTGATAGGAGGGGGGGGGGAGGGGGGGCCTGGGGGGGGGTCCAAAAATCGTATACTAGGAATATACCAAATAGTGGTGGCTCATGGTCGCTTGTTTTCCCCCGCTCGTGGTACTGGTGTACTATATATATTTGTACTAGTGTATAAGTGTATATTTACCGGCCGACGCGACCGTGATAGATAGATAAATAAACGTTTATTTCTATGCGCTCTTGGGCAGATACCTCAAATATTATCATACAAAGTTATAAAAAATCACAAAGAAACAAAATAAAACAAAAACATATCAACGAAATCTGCCAGCCGGCCGTGTTGCTCTGCTTGTTGTTAACTTATTACTAAAGCATTTTCAATGTCTCGTCTGTCTATAGTCTTTACTCTCCGTCGTCTCCTCAGCGGGGTGTATAAAAACGATGATAGTTTTGTAGATTTAGTAATTAATTCATCTATCCAACAAGTGTCCATAATACGGTTTGATTTGCGTATACTACGTTGTTGTGTAATAAATTAAAAAATTACAATATGTAAACTTTTTCACCCCTCAGACTTCGAAACATGTAAGCAAACGTGACTCACACACGTGAGAGCCTTTCTGAACTCCGTATAATGTATATCTACTACTTTCCTAAGGATGAAGGGAATCCGGGTAAATGGAATACAATAACTTTGTTACTTTTGTATCCAGGTCCGTAGCGAAAGGGGGGGGGCACATGGGCACGGGAAAAAGAGGGGGGAAATTCGTTTTTTATTTACCAGTACGTACGTTAAGGTAATATCTTTTTAATTAAAAAGTGTCTGCAATAAAACTTTTTTGAAATTCAATTTTTTTAAACTGAATATCATGCTTTCTTTAGTTTTTACTGGCTTTTTTGATACTATTTTCCTTGTCCTACAAAAATTTTCGGCTATAATTGATAAAATAATTTCTGTAAGCATTAATATGGCCGGTTTCTGCCTTTAACTTTTCGACTTTTGTTAAAAATGATTCTGTGTTATATGCAATACATTCTAGACCGGCGACGGTCTACAGGGGGCCAAGAAAATTTATGATATGAAAGATATGAAATAAAACATCAATTGGGACGGAGTTTACAGATAAAGTAGGAGAACTGGAGATTACAGATAAAAAGTAGGATAGAATTAGATTTTACAAGTAGAAATAGGAGAAATGGAGTTTACAGACAGAAAGAAGGATAGAACTAGATTTTACAGATAGAGAGAACTTAAGTTTACAGATAGAAAGTAGAAAACTGGAGTTTACAGATAGAAAGTAGAAGAACTGGAGTTTACAGATAGAAAGTAGGAGAACTAGGTTTTACAGATAGAGTATGAGATCTGGAGTTTACAGATGGAAAGCTGAGAGCTGGAGTTTACAGATAGAAAGTAGGAGAACTAAAATTCACAGATAAAAAGTAGGAGAACTGGAGTTTACAGACAGAAAGTAAAAGAACTTAAGTTTACAGATCGAAAGTAGGAGAACTGAAGTTTACAGATAGAAAAGTGGTAGAACTGGAGTTTACAGAAAGAAAGTAGGAGAACTAAAGTTTATAGTTATAAAGTAGGAGAACTGGAGTTTACAGACAGAAAGTAGGACCTACTTTCTGTAGGATAGAATTAGATTTTACAGATAGAAAGTTGGAGAACTAAAGTTAACAGATAGACGATAGAAGAGCTGGAGTTTACAGATAGAAAGTAGAAGAACTGGAGTCTACAGATAGAAAGTAGGAGAACTCGAGTTTACAGACAGAAAGTAGGATAGAACTAGATTTTTCAGATAGAAGGTTGGAGAACTAAAGTTAACAGATAGACAATAGAAGAACTGGAGTTTACAGATAGAAAGTAGAAGAACTGGAGTCTACAGATAGAAAGCTGAGAACTGGAGTTTACAGATAGAAAGTAGGAGAACTGAGTTTTACAGACAGAGAGTATGAGAACTGAAATTTACAGATAAAAGTAGAAGATCTGGAGTTTTCAGATAGAAAGCTGAGAACTGGAGTTTACATATAGAAAGTAGGAGAACTGGAGTTTAAAGATAGAAAGTGGGAGAACTGGAGATTACAAACAGAAAGTGGGCAAACTGGAGTTTACAGATATAAGATAAGATATAGTTTATTGCTAAAAATACACATTTGTACTGTTACAGGCAAAATCTGCAACCATTTTCATATTGTTTGCTATATATGTATGTATTATAGCAATTAGGTGTTGATTAGCTTTAGCTGTTTGGGGTATTATCCCCACCTAATTAATATCAAAAGTTTACAATAAATAATATGATGAATATTAATATGTTTTGAAAGTTCACAATAAGCCAGGGATTACTAGTTAAATTTAGAGAGACCGCGAGGTGCAGCAGTGCAGCATAACAAAATAATTGATTTTTCAGTTTTAAGTTTAGAACGTATAACAGACAGGCGCGCAACTAGACATTTTGTTAGGGGGGGGGGAAGAGGGAATTAAATAAATTTGCCCCCTTCCCCAAAAAAAAAAACATTTTTTTTTGGGCCCCCCCCCAAAAAAAAAATTATAACTTACAACCAGCACCTATTCTATCTATTTCCTTATTTTCGATGAAAAGTTTAAGCGAGTCACCTACCAGAACAATTTTGTTTTCTTTCTGAAAACTATATACTTTCAGTCCGTTTATTTGCTTTGAACCAGTCTGCAATTTGTGAAAGCTCAAAATTTGCAAAATCGTACAGTACAGTACAGTAAAGACTTTTTAGATTTTCCGAAGAATATTGTAATGTTGTGTCATCAGCAAAAAGTATTATGAACAATTTTTATGCGTATCGAAGGTAAATTATGATTATTCAATTACTGAATCATAATACTAAATCCGTCTTAAAATCTTTCATTAACCAATTTTGTGATATTTCAAGATGCAATACTCTAATCAAATTTATCAAAAATTTCATTGATAACAGTTTTAAGAATTCAACACACAAAATATTAATTTTGTGTAGAATTGAAAAAATGGTTTGAGTTGGTTCTTTAAAATCACACTTTAAATGCCCTAAATATACCATTAAAAAAAGTAGTTTTGCCCGGAGAGTCTAATGTGGTGGTACGGAAAAGGAAATAGTGGTGGCTCATGGCTGCCGGAAGAGAAGAAAGCTAATATGTGGCAGGGAAGGGGAAATAGTGATGGCTCATGGCCGCCAGCCTTCCCCCGCTCCATGTGCCTGAGTATGTTTAATTCGAGATTATAATCAATTCACTTTATTGAAGGAATTGAAGAAAAGATTAAATTTAACAAGAGGAGGGAGGGAACCCCGAGACGCCATGAGTCTCCGCTATGCAGACACAAGCCTCCCAGATTTGCTAGGCAGACCGAGCCTCAGGTATGCAGTAATGAGCATGCGCAATACATCAAAATGTGCCTGTAAAATACAGGTTTTTTTACATTTGTGTTTTAAATATAAGATTTTTTACAGATTACTGAATATAGAGGCAGGAGAGGTTTCTCAAAGTTTTTATCAATTAGCATAAATAGTGCCTAATTATGACTAATAAAGTGGTATTTTTAGCACGAAAAGGAAAAGATTTAAAGAAAAAAAAATTAAATTGAATTTCTTATCATCCTTTATAATCTTTGATTTAAGCAATACATTTTTTTATAGTTTAAATTAAATCTAGAAAATTTGTATCATTTATTTAAATCTTAACATTTTTCAAAACAGGTATCAATTAAATTAAAGATTATAAAAAAAGAGTTTTCTCAAGAAATATTTCTCCGAATATCTTCCTTTCTGCGCAAGAAATGTTTAAAGTTTTAGTTTAAATCTTATAATCCAAATATGTTTCTAATCATGACAATCGATAGTAAAATTCTTAAGCCACTACGTCAAAAACATGAAAACAAAGATTTTAAAAAAGCTGTGCTGTAGAGTAAAGTATCATTTACTGCATTGCAGAGGCACGGTCTGCATAGCGGAGGCTTGGTCTGCATAGTCGAGACTCGATCTGCCTAGCAAATCTGGGAGGCTCTTGTCTGCATAGTGGAGGCTCATGGCGTCCGAGAATTCCCTCCCTTACAAGAGGATAAGTTTGAGTGTATGGTTCAAGCTCCTCAGTATGCATAAGTCAACTATTCATTCATCAGTGGATATATCGAGGTTTCGACTGTAAAGCTTGCACAGAGGAGACAGACATTGGTGTCTGTAGATGGAGGAGAATTAGGTCTAATTCACAGTTTTAGTTGGTAAAGAATTAGGTCTAGAATGTTTAGAATTAGGAATTAGGTCTAGAATGTTAAGAATTAGATCTAATATATGAACAATTGAGTCTAAAATGTATAAAATGGAGCTGGTAATTTTCCTAAGGCATTTTTTACAGGCATCCTCCCAAACGTTAGTTTAGACCTTCCGAGGCGCTAAAAGCTGAGGCTAGGACAGACTTGAGTTATCGCTTAGGAAATTACAGTTTGAGGAAGTTGGCCACAACAAATAAACACTCGTCAAGTTATGCATCATTTAATTAACACTTTACTGTAAACCCACTAACTAAAAATAATGGTTAAGATTTCGTATTTATTGATGTTAAAGCAAGTACAGAAGGTGTTATCGAGCAAATTCTTGCACAAAATCTTACAAATTTTTTAATTTTACTATTTTTTATTTGATTTTAATCTTGAAGAATTTGGAGTTAGAGCCCACAAATACCTCAATTTTTCCAATTTTATTGCACAGCCAAAAAGGTATCACAGTTACAGGCGGGTAGACGAAGTGTCTTTAAATTATATCCTCATTAATCAACTGTGTTTAGGATATCCGCTCTTGTGCTCGCAGGAATTTGATTAATTCCATTTCAAAAATGTTTGCCATAAGATATTTTTAATGGACTTTAAATGCACGCTTGTGCACTGACAAGATGACAAAACCATGGGTAAGGTCAAAGAAACACTTACTTAAAAGAAACACTAACTTAAAATTCCACAGGGGGTAAGGGGGTGGTGGGAAATTAAGATAAAAGCCCGAAAATTTTACTATCCATAAAACCCATCATGAATTTCGGTTTACATGAGAAACCATTTTATAATTTGAGCTTGTGTTTATAATCCTTTTCTTAAGGACATTCAGTGTTGGTAAAAATTCGTATCAATTCCAAACAGTAGGTAATAGAGTGGAATCGGGAGGGTGAGACCAAAAACCCTAGTACCCCAAGTGAATTTAGAAAATACTTTCAATTGGTTTTGGAAAGATTAATCCCGACTTTAAACCTTGAATGCGAGAATTTAACTCCAAATTACATGTTCATTCATACATATTGATATCATTCATCACATGGTTCATTAAACTTTAACAAAATATAATTTATTCAGAGAAAGATGCGGCAGCCATAGACCCTCAACAGGGGCCTTGCCCATCCAACCCCGGGCAGGGTCAAGGGAAAATCGAAGGATTTGGCATATTGGAAACTTTATGGATAATCTGCCAAAACTAAAGGATTTACCTCTCGACCCTCGACATGCATAACACACATACAGACTATAGTGCCGGACAGATCTTTGATCGCACCAAATATAAAACCCCAGGTGAAAATGCTCCTTCAATTCATTAAGAAGTGGCATCATTACCGCTAATGAAGGAGCAGCGTCAAGCAGCTCAACGCAGCTTATCATCGTGGGGGGAAGATTTACAGTATTGGAAACGGTACAAAATGCTTTCAGTCAAAAGTAATATTATCCAATAAGATTTGAAAGACTCTGTGGTACTTCAGGTGTCTAATCGAACAAAGATCACCTTGCTTAACTGGGATAGTACCAAGCAATCTTAAGATAAAAAATAGACATTGGTTTTAAACTGAAAATTTGGAAAGATCTTAAACCCTTGTGAAGAGAAGATTATTAAGTTATTTTATGAAGTATAGGGAGGAGAGGGGTAGCAAAGAAGAGTAGTATATGTAGAACCCTCCTCTCTGGTGTTTGGGGAGAATCTAGTTCTCGTCCTCAGGGTTCCCACCCTCCTGGTGGAACTCAGCTACATACAGAGATTTGTCAATCACCTAGAATGGAACATTAATTATTATCAGTAAATGACGCAAGAGTTTACTAGTACCACCCGGCCATGGCTTTATTTACAAATGAAGTGTATGTGGTTTCAAGAAGAAACTGAACCAACTCAATCCTGCCGAGCAAGAAAACAACAAACATTAGTATCTGGTAAATTGTTATGATTGAGAGTTAATGTTAGGAGGGAAAGTCTTTGCTTCCATTAAGATTACATTTGATTCGAAACAGCGCTTATGATCAATAAAATTTCGCCGGGATCTGCACAGGATTTTTTTTTAAACAGAAGAAAAATTTTCGAATAATTTCCCTTATTTTTCATTTGCTTAACCATTCGGAAAGGAATTTTTTATTAAGTCATTTTTTAATAATTAAGCTGAGATCTGAGAGCAAAAGAATTACTTTCAGTTTGGATCCGGATCCGTGGATCCGCATGTTTTTGCAGATCCTACGGATTCTATGCACTGGTTCGAAACATGAACAATAAACAAATTTCATTTCACAATTGAAAGATACTAGAAAGTTTAGTAATTTCTAATTTCTCACCTTGGGAATAGGCTTAATCTCTGTACCAAGCTCCTGCTCTATCCTGTGCAAGGAGAACCTGTCGTCGTAGGTGATCAGATTGATCGCAATACCCAGGTGTCCAAACCTTAAAACAAATTTCAATTAACTGAATGAATAATTTATAAGTTTTATTTAACGAGATGAAACTCTAAAAATGAACTAAAATGACCAGAGCTGAATAGTGGTTTATCGAGGTTAATGCTTAAACTCCTGGTTTTACTAAACCCGAGATTACTTTAATACGCTTTCAATATCCAAGAAAAAAAGTACAAAATTCAACCAATCAGCGCATCATGTTAAAATATCTCATTAACTTTTGAAAAACCGGTTTTTTCTGGTGTAAATTGTGTCATATCAATTGAACTAAACATCGATTAAATAAATGTAAGTTTTGGATTAATGTTTTTAAGACTAACGTTTAAAATGATAAGTCCTAAAATGTGATAAAATATTTTTTTTTTAATATGTTCCTAGTAACATGATTAATTTTATATTTGCTTAAATGGTCTAAAGCCGGCTTGTGAACAGCTGACTTTAATTCAATCGGATATTTGTTCAATCGATATAGCATTGTGTCTGTAATTGTTATCAAACGTTTCTTTTATACAGTAGGGATATCCAAAAAAGAGGATTAAGAATAAAATCAAAATAGTGTACATTGGATAATCAGATAAAGCGCTCAGGATTAAGGATATCTCATTCATTCTCAAGTTTTCAGCTCCGGCCCCTTTCCCAACTGACATGCTATTCATACTAATCTGACCTAACTCACAATTAACCTAATGAACTTGCCAAACTGCAGTGCTTGGGATCCGCAAGATTTTGGCTTCCTGGATCCGGATCTGCAAAAATATGCGGATCCAAGAGGCAAAATATCAACCAAAAGCTGCTAAAAAAATTACTCTCAAGCCCAAATCTGAACTATTAAAAAGATTTGAATTATTCAAGTTTTAGCATAAAAAAATTTGAAAATTCTTTGTTAATTTGGGTCCGGATCAGTTTTTTTCCAGTGCGGATCCAGGATCCGGATCCGCATCAAAATTAAATGAACCATAAGCACTGCCCAACTGACATTGTTTACCTACAAATCTTACACGACATGCTGTATCTACTAATCTTAACCCAACTGACATTATATACCCTTAGCCCAGCTGACATGCTTTACCTGCTAATCTTACAAATGACAAAATATCTACTAAATCTTACTCAACTGACAACTATGTCTTCCAAATCTTAGTCCAACTTATCTTTCCTGGCTAACATGCTAAAACCAATAAATCTTATCAAACGGACATTCTTTTTCCAGTAACCTTACCCAACTGAGATGGTTTACCCACTAATGCTGAATCTACTACTTAAAACATTTAACTAACCAACTAACATGTTTCACGCACTGATCTTTAACACTGACATGCTTTACCCACTACTCTTACCCCCAACTAGCATGCTTTAACCACTAATCTTACCCAACAAACTGGCATGCTTTACCCACTAATCTTACCCAACAAACTGACATGCTTTACCCACTAATCTTACCCAACAAACTACCATGCTTTACCCACTAATCTTACCCAACAAACTGGCATGCTTTACCCACTAATCTTACCCAACAAACTGGCATGCTTTACCCACTAATCTTACCCAACAAACTGGCATGCTTTACCCACTAATTCCAACCAGTCGAAATTAAAACAAACTAGTCCAGACGAAAAAAATTATAGTTGTTCCTAACCAACATCAAACATTTACTTATCCTACCCCATACTAGATTTACTAATCATTACGGACGAACCTGCCAGATCTACCAATCCTATGAAGGTAGGTTTCAGCCATCTTTGGGAAGTCAAAGTTGATGACGACATTCACGGCCTGGATATCAATACCTGAACAAATTAATAAAATCAGAAAATTAATTGGGAAGTAGGAGAATCAATCAAGACCAATTATTACAATAATCTTACATCTTATCAAACATTTATGGTACAGGTCTAAAATATTTTGATCAACTTCTTGACATGTTAAAATAGGAACACAGGAACAGAATCTTACCTCTGGTGAATAGATCTGAGCAAACCAAATTTCTGCAGTTTCCGTCACGAAAATCATGAAATACGCGGTTCCGGTGAGCCTAAAGGAATAATATTTATTAAGGATTATCTACGCTATTACTATTCTTGGAGAACTGTTCTTAGCTTCACCCTTCCACAATCGTTTATCCATGGATGTAAATATCTTTTTGTATTTACTATTCCTGCTGACACAGCAGAGACAATGAATAAAATTGAAACTTATCCCGTTAGGTTCAAACACGAACCTGAGCCATCCTGGAGTGGATGTAGTAGCAGGAGTAACCCAGTTCAGTAATCTTCTTGGCTAACAACTCCACCCGCTGAGTCGAGTTACAGAATATAATGCTCTGAACAAATTATGTCATAGAATTTTACAAGTTATTTCTTGGTGTATCAAGATGAGAACATAATTGAGTTCATCAACTAGAAACATTAGATAAAAAAAGTACTTTTGATCCATTTCATTTTGATCCAAGCTAGGATCCGGATCCATATTTTGCAAATAATGGATTTTGGACCATTAAACAATAGTCTACTATTCTTTTTGCGTAAATTTTGCTCAGAGATGAAAAATTTGACTTGGGTTTAGAGAGCAAACAGTTTTTATTTCAGTTTTGCTCCTTATATCCGGATTCAAATCCAGGTACCAACGGATCCGGATTCTACGCACTGCTGAATGAAGTAACCAAAAGGAAAAAAAAAATATTCATTTGAAAACTCTCAAGCACTAGTTATAGTTGAATGAATTCAGGTTCAGATAAGATCAAAGTTATTCGCTAGATTATCATCAGAGGAATCTGTTAAGACTCGACCCTTCTCATCTCGGTAATCATCATTACAATTCAAGTTTGGATTGCGCTACAATGGTTAATGAAAAACGAAAATATTCAACGACAAAATATCCGTCAAATAATAAAAATTTAATGGCACTTAGCAGAAGCGGAAATATATTTAAGTTATTTTCAAAATTGCTTGATGCATAGGAAATGTGAACAGGGATATGTATTTTCTAGATACTTATAAGCAGAGCCGTTACAAGAGGTAGATTTTTTATGGGGGAGAGGGCCGAGTTTTATTTATTTGGGGTATCCATATCTATTACCAATTTAATTAATTCCAGATAATCAAAAATCCCTGGCCACTAACTCCGCCATCGGATTGAAATTCTTAAAATATCCAAGCATTGGCATTTATTCATTTTCTATTTAATGAAAAACTTATCCGTTTGTATCAATCCAAACTTAACCCTCTTTCAACTTCCTCAATATTATGCAAAATAATAAATTTTAACCTGATTGATCCTAAGTTTACTGAACAGAGTATTCAAACAATGCACCTTCTGCCTTTCCTAAAATTCAACAGTTAAATAAGAACCCCAAATCAAGCTATAAAAAATATATTCAATAGATTGATTTTCCACAAGGACTAACAAAATGTGAATTACCTATTTAAAAAAAGAGTTTCTTACTGAAAATCTATATACTGAACAGACTTGCTAACAACCCAAATCAAGTAGATTTGCCACAGCTTTAAAATTTCCGATTTGAAAAGTTTCGGATTTAGTTTTCTAGCTTTAAGACAAACTCTCGTATTAAAGCACTTATTTAAATTGTCAGTAAATTTTACCTGGACAAATGCGTAGAACTGAGTAATACCCTTGAGTGTGAGCTCATCCATCAAATTGATTTCGTACCTTAATTAAGTTTTACTTAATAGATCGCCAACAAACTAAAAAATTCAACACTAGTATAAAAAAAATTGAGACGCGGGTCCAAAAATTTGGCCTCTTATAAACATTAGGTTTAATATTATACTTTGCTTTGAGCCGCGTCGCAATTTGTGACTCGGCTCAAACATGATTAGTTAAATATTCTGCGTTTCGAGATTTGAGCCGGCGTCCAATTGGAACCGGTTTTTGTCGGTTCAGCTACGCGGTTAAACTTCTTTAAATTCGGAAGCGTTAAACCACACAATTTTAATACGTCAAGTTTATTTTCATAAAAAATCTAAAAATTTCTCTTACGCCCCGGAGAAAAATACACCCCCCCCCCCCCGCCATCCATGTGCTTAAAACTTACGGATTGGTGAGATGTTTCTGCATAAATGATTCAACAGTTAGAGGGAAGGTTGCACTGAAGAGCAGAATCTGGCGTTCTTTTGGAAGATGAGAAATGCAACGGTCCAACATTCCCTTGAAATCCTAAACATAAAAATTTAATTTAGCCCTGCAGTTATATCCGGATCCGGATCAATTCTGTAAAAAATGTGGATCCGGAAACATGTTTTTTAAAATTACACTTTCTTTATTTCTTGCAAATTTAAACTCATTAAACGTTCAATGTTCAGAATGGTTATATTGGAGTCACATTAAATGAAATGAAAGTGTGCAATTCTGAGATTAACAAGTTCCACGGACAAAGGGCTAAGATCAGAGATTCAGTTCCCAAAATGAGGACATTCCGTAATAAACCCTTGTCTAATTTAGTTATTTTGATGTACTGGGCTTACGTTTGAGAGAAGTTTGTCTGCCTCATCAAGTACCAGAATACGACAGTTATCCATGTTTGCAACCTAAATATTTTAAGAGACTATATTTATAGATAAGCTTTTACAATTTACAACTTAATCTTATGTAAAGGTATCCATCCTCCTCTTAAAAACTCGTTAGATAATTTTAGACAAATTTGTACCAGGAACAAGTATTAAATTAGTATAAAACGGCACAGATCTTGCAAAAGGCAGATTTCTACAAAATAAAATGAAGTTAAAACGAGTATGTCATCCGAATTATTGAGGATATGAAGTTTAAACGTAAAGTTAAAAAGGTCAAAGTCTTCCGAGTTATTTTCAACCAAAAAAATAGATCTTAAAGAAACTTCCGAAGATACACCAAAAACCCTATTAATTTTAAGATGCAGATACTAGAGGGCGGGGGGGTTATCAGATTACGCTCTCGCCAGGAATATCATCATCCAGGGGAATCCGAGTATCAAGAAGACGCTCAGGACTCTACCCTGATCTAGCTCGGCCTTTTGTTAGTCATCATGTTCATGTTGAGGCCGGGGGAGGGGGCGGAGGGGGACCTAACCTGCTTCTCCATAAGATCGAGAATTCTGCCAGGTGTAGCTACAACGAGGTGAACCTTCTCATACAATCTCATAATATCGTCCTTTAAGTTGGTTCCTCCTGGAAAACAAAACAAGGTTAAAACGGTCTTAAGAGTTTAACATTTCAGAGGGGTCTATATTTTTTTTAATTACCCTTACATACGAGCAGTTGGACGAGCAAATTTTTATCTTAGTCCCAAAATTTTATTTATTCTCCATTTTTTCTTTTCCAACCCCCAAATATGTGCCAAGGCATGTGAAAAATTAGTTTACGGGGGAATAACTACAGGGTGGCCAAACTGTACGGATTGTTTTTTATTAACCCTAAAATTGTACGGATTGTACAGATTTGTTTTCAAATTGTACGGATTGTACGGATTTTTATCCTGGAAAATACACCGTTTTTTTAAATTTTCACTCATTTCAGCAAATTTTTCATGAAAATTAAAAAAAAAATTCTCGTCAAAATGAAGTTAGTTTAACTTATTTTCTGCATTCTAAATAATATTAGATTGATTAATGTTTCAATTGACAATCAAAATTCATTCATAATTTTCGAGAAGTGTTTTTTGGAGAATATGTTCCACAAGTACTTATTTGATTGCTTATTCAAGAAGATGTTCCAGGATCCTGTACACAGTATCCTGTACCCTGTATCCTGTACCAAGTATCCTGTACCCAGTATCATGTACCCAGAATTATGTACCCAGAATCATGTACCCAGTATCATGTACCCAGTATCCAGAATCCTGTATCCTGTATTAAGTTCAATATCCTGTATCCTGTATCCAGTATTCATTCAATATCCTGTACCCTGTATCCTGTATCCGGTATCCGGTATCCTGTATTCTGAATCCAGTATCCTGAATCCAGTATCCTGAATCCAGTATCCTGCATCAAGTATCCAGTATCAATCCAGTATCCTGTATCCAGTAATCCTGTATCCAGTATCTTGTATTCAGTATTCAGTATCCTGTATCTTGTATCCAGTACCTTGTATCCAGTACCTTGTATCTTGTATCCTGTATCCTGTATCCTGTATCCTGTATCCCAGTATTTAGTTTGTTTATATGTATGAAGCCAATTTTTTACAGATTGATTTTTGCTGAAGAAGTTTAAACCCTCTTACATGAACTGAACACAAAGGACAATGAATGAAAAATTGAATTTTAATGTTTTTTTTTCAAAAACGGAATTTTTTTTCGAAAATTGTACAGATTTTTAAAAAAAATTTACGGATTGTACGGATTTTTTTTTTAAAAATTGTACGGATTGTACGGATTTCTTCTGAAAATGTACGGATTTGTTCAAAAAAGCCACCCTGTAACTATAAAGAAATATTTATTTGTTTAGGATTTATAACTCGAAAAACAAGTTCTTTGCCGATCAGAAATGAAAACACCTTATATGACCCATTTAACATCTACTTTTTTACTCTACAGAGGTTTGGTCCATCACCATCACTGAATTTTAAAATGATCTTTGGATGGTTCCATTTTAGCTTAGAGCTGGTTGATCTATACCCTGCATTAGCTCTTTTACTATAAACTAGAAGATATTCTGTTTTAAAAACAGTTTTAAACCATAAATTAAAAAGACTAGATTGGGATGAAATTTTTTGGAAATAAATCTTTCCCAAAATACTTTATTCGCCAGGTCCTAGGGCAGTGTGAAAGACGATTAAGATTTCTCAAAAATTGGCAAAATAAACACACAAAAAAATCAGTTACTAAAAATGTAAGCAAGAACAAATTTTATGCGACTTTACCTGTAGTGACCATAACCTTGAGACCCATATGCTGAGAAAGTTCAATTGCAATCTGTGAGGTCTGCAGGGCAAGCTCACGGGTAGGAACAATTATCATACCCTGAGAAACATAAAGACTTAGAAACTAGAAAAATATGATTACACATATTCCTTCCGTACCCAGAGACTGAATCTTGCCATCCGTACTTTTTGCAAACATACGACGCCTTCCTTACTCACTGTGAAACACGACCCCTCTCGGTGAAAACAAATAGAAAACAGTAAAATTAGATGTGCAGACACCTTTGGGCGACATCTAGCGGACATACACTATTGAGTACGGAGACATACAAAGAACGACTTAATTACACTCGTTAAGTTGGCAAGATCCGGGCACTGGGAGGCTCATATCTTAACACACTATCATCAATAGCTTAAATACTAGTCCTTAACAGTCCTATCGGAATAAAATTCTTAATTACATTTGTATCTAACTCTTGATGTTCAAATAAAAGTTCAAGTAGTTGAAAATTTAATACCTGGATAACATCTTTGGTTACATCTATCTGCTCTAGTATAGGAATACAATAGGCTCCAGTTTTTCCAGTTCCATTCTTAGCTCGGGCCAAAATATCCCTTAACAAATTAATTGTTGCCTTAATTCAACGTTAAGTTGGATTAGCGGGGGGGGGATACAGAGATTGAACTTAAATTATTTCAACGAAGGGAAATTGGTCTTATTCAACAATACCGGATCCGGATTTAGGTATTAAACATTTTTTTAAGATTTCCTATAACATTATTTTCTCGCTTATTTTAATGTTAGAATAGTTCAATCCAGTGCTTAGGATCCGGATCCGCAAGATTTTGGCTTCCTGGATCCGGATCCGGAAAAATATGCGGATCCAAGGGGTAAAATATCAACCTAAAACTGCAAAAAAAAAATATTTTACACCAAAACCCAAAATCTGAACTTTTGAAAAAAGAGATTATAAGAATTTCCTCATTTCTAGATGGTTCATCAAGTTTTAGGATAAAAATAAAAGAAAAAAAGAAAACCAAAAATTGTTAAAAAAATTTTGTTAACAAAATTTCAGTAAATCTTAAAGAAATGCCCTGGATCCGGATTCATTTTTTTCCAGTGCGGATCCGGATCCGCATCCAAATTGAATGGATCCTAAGCACTGGTTCGATCACAGATTATGATGTTGTTGTTAATCTCTAATTGGTTGACAATTAATAAGCTAAGAGTTTTTTTTTTAAACTTTGGTGGATATTTAGCCCCTTAAGGATCCGAATCCGTTGATCTAATACCCACAAAGGATAAGACTGTAAAGAGTAAAGACGATTTGATAGTTGAAACTTTACAAATATGTCTATCCCAAGCTTAAATGAAGTCTTCTGCCTTGAATGTGATAGTTTATGGCTTATTTAATGATTTGGCCAAGGAGAAGATAAGTATAGTAGTAGGGAATCATAAATAAAAGGAAAGGAACAATGTGAATTCAGTTCAGTCTTCTTTTAAATTGTCCTCCATCGAGGGAAACCCTGTCGTTAGTAAAAAATTGTTAACAAACCTTCCAGTTAGTGCAATAGGGATGCTGGCCTCTTGAATTGGAGACGGTTTCTCCCAACCTTTCTCAAATATACCCATCAGCAGAGGACGTTTCAGGCAGAAATCTTCAAACTCATTTCCCTTGGTTGCGGTCACATCACTCGTCTTGACCCTTCCATCTCGGGCAGGCAGGTTCAGCTGGCTCTTCCATCCTTTCCTAATATGGAGCAGTTATTATTTAGAAGACATTTGCCCAATTAATTTACGACATCATTCCATACTTCACCGACAGCTTCAGAACGGAATCAATTAACCCATTAAAATCGTAAAAAATAATTTTTGATTCGATAATCAGTTTATTAAGTAGTTTTAGAGCCAGACAAATTCCTGAATACGCCCCTAGTTGAGCGAGACATTTAATTACAGAAAATAATGTACAGGTTCTCAGCGAGAACCCCCCCCCCTCGACAGCAAGTTTATCGTAAGAAGTTCATTTATATAAAAAAGGTTCCGTCCTAGTATACAATTATTGGAACCTCCCCCCCCCTCGCCTTTTAATTTTAAACACGACCACTTTTTCAAGTTATTTAATTATTTGGGTCTGTCCTAGTGAACGATTTTTGGACCACCCCCCCCCCTATCAATTTTGAACATGACCATTTATTTTTCAGCAAATTTATTATTTTTTTTAATGTTATTTAGGGTTGGGTTAGATTAAGATACTTTCTGGGCCGAGCGCTGCGGCTAGGCTGGGCTAGGGGGCAGAGCGCT